GGTTTGTCTATGGTTATGTTTTGATATGAAACAGGAAGTTGTAGTAACTTCAGTGTACATGATCCAATATGCCACAAATTTCAAATGTTTGATAAGAGTCCCGGCCTGAGCATATCTATACCAAATAGATGTAATAGTCATTACACCACCCACTGGCAAAAGAAAGTACACTGTGGGTAACACTTAATGTACTACAACATAATTAACATATACCTGGTGTTCTCTAGCACCAGGTAGCAGACACAGGAAGTGACTCCTTCGTGCAGTGTCTTAAACGCATTTCCCTTTTGTGCCATTTAGGTGTCATGCCACCTGATGAGTACTACTACAATATCAACAACTCTGTTTACACAAACACAGTGGCCAAATTCAGGTACTAGTATTGAATATTTCACTGCAGTGCAGTTTAACTCATGAATACCAGTAATACAAAACGTTTCTCATTTGCCAGTCTTCAGTTCGCTGTAGAATTGGCTGACCTCCTCCAACATCCTGCACCAAAGGAATGGCAAGAAGTGTCCGAACACCTCAAAATACCTTTTGACCAAGAATCCCAGTACCATCCTGAGTTTGATGGCTACCTTAAAGGTTAATTTTGTTTAAACCTTTCTGACTCTGACCTGCATAAGAAAATCTAATGTCCATAACCTGACGTCAGAATATCTTTTGGACCTCTCGCAGATAATCCAGTGAAGCAGGCAGACGCAGTGATGTTGGGCTATCCTCTTGGATTGCCAATGTCCCCAGAGATCAGGAGAAATGACCTTGAAGCATATGAGCCAGTGACAGACCCTAATGGTCCAGCCATGACATGGGTAAAAACACAGTATGATGTAGGGTCAGTAGAAGATTGATGTTACCGTTAATTCCATTTGACGGTATTAGAGATTTATTGTTAAATGCATTTTTAAAAAGAGATTAAACGATTTATGAAATAAAACCGGGCAGTGGTAAAGGAAGTATTCAGATCCTTTGCTAAAGTACAATCTTACTTGCCTTCAAAATCCTACTTAAAGCCACTTAGTTAATATTTTATATTAACAATGGATCAGTACAGAGAGTACATGTGAAAGGAGTTTGTAGTGATGAACGCAGAGAGAATTAACACCCGACTCTGTGGTTCCCCTGAGCTCGACAGGTGTTTCAGCCAATTGCTTTGGTTTTACATCTTGCAACTTTCATTGGATTTTCACAGCTCTTTATCATGCTCTGATAAACCTGCCCAGCACCAAATGAGAGACAGACAAAGTTAGCTACTAGCTAGTGACCATAGTGGAGGTATTGGTCAAGCCAATTTTTATCTACTTTAGAGTGTTGGGTGGTTTAATCTGTAACAATTCATTGTATTTTAAAAGCTTGTAACAGGTTTTGTAAAATATTAATCTACAAAGTAACTAATATTAATAGCTGTCGGACACATTAAGTTTAGTTATGTAGTCATTAGTTGCTTGTAGTGCGCAGAATTAGCTGTTTTACTGTTTCTCCTTGCATTGAATGTAAAAGCCTGTTGTCACTTTCACTTGTAAGGGTATGTTTGCAGTCAGCTGGCTGGAGCTGGGGGAGGCTGAGAAGGCTCAACATTTACTTGAAAAGTGCTTCAAAAACATCCAGGGGCCGTTCCAGGTCTCCTTCCAACTCACCCACACACACACACACACAATACTGATACATGCCTCTTGACTCGATATCCAGGAATGTGTGATTACCTCTCCTCACAGGTATGGAGTGAATCATCTGATGGCTCTGGTGCGGTCAACTTTCTCACGGGTATGGGAGGATTCCTGCAAGCTGTGCTGTTTGGTTACACTGGCTTCAGGTCGGTTGTCTATCCTCCCACCATGGAAAAACATTTCAATATGCACGTAGGCAGTGATACAAAGATTAACATAATGTGTTTTTTTCCTAGAGTCCAGAAGAAATGCTTGGCCTTTTCCCCACTTCTTCCCAATGACATTTCTGAGCTCTGTATCCGTGGTGTGAACTACCTGGGCAGTCAGATGGACTGGCTGGTGAGGAAAGATGACGTTTGTATCATACTGAGGGAACAGGCAAGCAGTGCAGGCAACGCAAAGTCCTATGATTTACAGGTTGTCCTGAAGTCATCGGGAGCTAAAATCCCTCTCACGCCAGGTAACACACAAGCCAGGACATGCAATGATAGCAGTCACTTTCTGTTTTTATTTGTTAACTTATGCAATAAATATGACATTTTGTACAGTAATAATAAAGAACACACTTAGCCTTCCAAATTATGGCCAAGTGAGTCATTTATACATGACACTAAACATAATACATTTCAGAAAAACAATAAATATCAGGAGGATTAATAAAAATGAATAACAGTAGTACATTAGGTCATAGGTAGGGCACAGTTTTTGAGAAACAAAATAAGAAAAACCGCAATGATGAGGAAAATTCACAAGATGAGTCTTGAAGTTTGCGTTTAACTATCTGTCTTATGCAGGGAGAAAATGATGGAGCACTCGCAGGCTCTCCATTTAATAAGAATTGGGTCTTCAGACACTGAAGAGGCAAAAGGCAGACAGGATTTTATAACAATGATGTCCAGTAGCATGACTCCCATAAAGCTGAGAAGACTCCAGGGATTGTCAGTGACCTTAGAGAGAGACATTCCACTTGTCAGAACAAGACAAGTTGCTTGCAGTATATTGAATGTAAGAGTGAGTCTGTGGACTGTGATGGGAATAATCACACTCTGGAGGAATTCAGTTCCTCGACAATTTGATTAAAAGATGTGAAGAATACTTTGCTCCTTGTGCAATGTCCACCCGTATCCAAAATGGTACATGATAATTCAGTTATTAACAGGCTCAATTCCCCACTGTGACATCCATCAATGTGTCCCTGAGCAAGACACTTAACCCCTAGTTGCTCCAGAGGCATGCGACCTCTGAAATATATAGCAATTGTAAGTCAATTCGGATAAAAGCGTCTGCTAAATGAATAAATGTAATGTTACTGGACAATTACTCAACAAGCTGAATGTTTGTGTCTCACTTTGAAATGATGTCATTTTATTCAGTACTGCATTATCCTTACTTTGTTCCTTGATTTCATGTTTCTTAATGACATTGATGCAGTAACAGAATCTTATTAATTTACTTCAACATATCTATATTTTCAGGGAAGCCAGTAACTATTCCTCGAGAGCCCGGGTATGTTTGTAAGGTGGCGTCAACATCCACCTGTTGGCCTTTCTGAAAAAGCAACCATGACCTTCCTAATCCTTTCATTTACCCCTTTATTTTTTATTTTATTTTTTATCTACACAGAGGGACTACAATAAGGATTTACAAAATATGGACTGCTTGTGTTTTTTTGATTAAAAGAACAAATGTTTAACTGTTCTGACTGCTTATTTGTTAACGCAATGGAAATGTTTATATTTAATATAAAAATTTCCATTGTGGAATTATAAATCTACAAAGATTTCTTGCAGTATGTCTGCATTATTTAGAATGCTTTTATAAAAAGCTATCACGTATTATTATATGCCATGTTATAAAACAATTAAATTGTATTGTAAATTATATATGTATTCAAATAAAACTCTCTACATTTAACTGCGCTTAATTTTCCTTTTTGTTTCCATCTCTTGTGAGTATGTTGTAAGTTGCACACAATACATTTAAAAAGAGTTCACCTTACATGGGCGAGCTGCACCAGCACAGCCTTTTTTGTGTGATTGATGGCTTCAGATATCCTGTAGCTTTGTTTCCTGGAGGGAGGCAGCAGCAGTCCCACAGACAAGGGACATAACGAGATTCATATTTACCCTCAGAAGCAACAACAGTTCCTGCCTCTCGCATAGACCCATTGTGGTTGGCCTGTCATTAATAAATAAAAAAATATGCAGAGCAGAACAAGGCCAATTCTAACTAATCAGAATCCTAAAAAGAGTTACCAATTTCTACAATCGAGTGACCCAAAAATCTCCACAAAGCCCTGACCTGCCAAGAGATAAATCCAGAGAAGAGTCCCCTAAATCAGCTAATGCCCCCCAAGCCTCACAGATCCTCAGGACAACAGACACACACTTAATCCAAACCAAACTGCAAATAAACAAAACACTTAAATCACACTTTGGAAGTAAATCATTCAGAATCAGAACAAGTCTTATTTGGCCTTAAACAGAGGCTATACACTAGCAAATTAATTTACTAACAAACCCAACAAAACAATATGGAAAACCACGACCATGTACAGACTCAGTGAACATAACTAGGCCATCAAGAGGCCACCATAGACAAACCTGGCTTCCTAGAGAGGAAATGATATGTTCACTTGTTCACAAAACAACATGTGAAAAATACAAGATCTAAGAAGAAACCACTTCCTCCAAATTACTGATAATAATTGCAGCTAAATATACACTGACTTGCATACCATAACCTGAGACCAGTGAAACACAAATATAAAATCACCATACTACAGCAACAATGTTATTATTGTTATGGTTGTTATATTGTTTGTTTATTTTCCTTTAATGCATTGTTATGCTGTTACTTTGACAATATGAACATCTTTCGGGCCAATAAAGGCATTTTGAAATTGAAATCGAATTGATAAGTAAAAAAGGGATATAACAAAAATGTAGACTTAGAAAGAACTCATTGAAATCGATAAATAAACGTAAACGTGTTTTGTAGCAGACTGAAAGAGAAGGACAGCTCTGAGACATGCTATGTTTGAGTTCCGTGAGCAGAGCAGAACAACTCCTGCCAAATATCAATTGGTTGATTTAAATCTGAGCAGCGCTGTAACTCCGCCCTGAACTTCTTTTGGGTTTGCTCGATTTACATTCACATGTCAACGGTTTCCTCACTCCGCACCATTGCTCACCATTGTTCCAAACGGTTGGTTCCGCCCTTGCGGATAATCACAGACAAAATCGAACAACTCTTCTCTAACGTCACTTGAGCTTCACCTCGGGATTGGCTGGTGCCGTTTCGAAAAAGTTAAACGGTTTCAGCGGGGAGGATTTCCAGTACAGTCCGGAGAGTTTATACATGAGCTGAAAGGAAAGTGGGAACTCCTACATTTCAGCACATTTATTTTTATGTCAGTATGCGATTGATTTAGCCTTTAAAATTAGCGCAGCAACGAGCATCGGATTCCTTTTTCTGAAACGCGGATATCAAAGGTAATACTAATTGTTTTGACTTCAAAGAAAATGTTAGCGTTAGCTGGCTAACATCGTGCCGTTAGCCGTTTAACTTTTTAAATTAAAACTTTAACGTCATCTCTGTTAAATGAGCTTATAATGTTTTCCAATAACTGTTACCACTGTTATATTTAATGATTGCTGCATGCTCGCCGATAGCATTTGACTGTTTAATATTAGCTAAGCGAATGTGTTAACATGGAAACGTTAACGTTAAGTTAGCTATTTGTGTTCACGTCTTGGTTTTATGTTTTGCGAATGTGTTCTGTTTTTCATGTAACACAACGTATCCGTGCTGCTGTAACATGAAAAAAGTGACGTTATGTTATTGTTGACCTCATTGTTATTAATGTAAAGTTAAAGGAAATTGCTGTACAGTAATCCGTCCGCGAATATAAGGCATTGCGCATGCACCGATTAACGTTACACCTACAAAGACATGAAGAGTGCAAAATGGATCCCATTACGTATTGATTTGGTGTTTGGTAATGTTACTGTTGTTATGAAACGGGTTTCACTTGTTTGTGTCAGTGATCTTAATGGATTGTTTACCTTCTAACAATGCTAACCTTTCAAGAGAGTATAGATGTGACCCTTTTTTGTAAGTTAACGTTACATGAGGACATTTCACTAAACAGACACTGTGATACTACTTTAAATATTCACAGTGTAGCTTAAATGGTTGAGACAGTCTTCATCTATGTGAAGCATCAATAGTTTACAAGATCTCTCAGTCAGTAATGGCCTCAGCAGTCAAGGTTTTGTGTATGTGGTGCAGCTTGTACACTCTGCTGTAATCCCGGATGAATTGCAAAATGAGTTGCTTTTGATGACTATATTTTTCTAATTTGCCGTTAAGGGGGTTTAAAATAAGTAGGTTCAAATAGTCATCCTGCTTATCAGAAAATAAAGGCTGTGTCAAAAAGGAAATTAAAACAGAAACAACCAGTCTGGTGTTTATGGGGTCTATAGTGATGTGTCAGTTCATTTTTACTGCATGTTCCACCTTGACCTGGAGTGCGATCTTTCCTTCAGGGCGCCAACATGAACTCCGTACTGTCATCTGTGCGATCCCTCATGCAAATGTTTGATGGCAAAGTACAAGAATTCACTAGCGACATTGATAATGTCCACATGGTTTGGCTCGAGGAGATCCAACAAGAAGCCAACCGCATGTTCTCAAGGTAGGCAGGAAGTAACAGACTGAATACAATCTTCAGAAATCTGTTCTTTTCAATAATTGTCTTTACTAATTTATGCTGTTTCTTTTTATTTCAGAGATTTTAATGCTGAACCAGAATTAATGCCAAAAACGCCATCACAGAAAAAGAACAGTCGCAGGAAGCGTGTGTCTGTGGGACGTCAGGAAGAAAATCAAGCCAGAAGAAGGTTTGTTGCTTTCTTTCCTGTTTTAGTAGAGGCTACATTTTCACGTTTTCTTTAAAGCTGAGCAATTTTAAACATGTTGTGCCTTTTGTAACTCTAAATAAATATTCCTTTCCTGTCCAGATTTTCAAAGGGAAAGCGCAGTAACCTTCGTCGCTCCTCTGTCAAATCACTGAACTTAATTGCTGAAGAAGGGGTCATTCCCGAGGCTTCCACCTCTGAAACCAACACCACCACACAGCCTAAACGCACCACCCGCAACAACAAACAAACAAAGTCTCAGGTGGCAGAGGATGTGAGCCAGTCACTTCATGGCAGCTGTATAACTGAGGAGGTGGAGAACAAGAAGCCAGTGCTAGTAGAGGATGAAGAGGTGGACAAAAATAACAAGGTGGATGCAGAAGTCAAGTCGGACTACATATGTAGCACTGCCCTGTCTCCACCAAAGATACCTTCACCTGAGGTCGTTGTCAGCATCTCTACAGCAGACCGCCTGTCTGCTGAGTTTGCCATAAATTCAGAGCCTTCTCCTGGCCGCACAGTTACTAAGATTGCAATAGCTGGCGACGCTCAAAGCTCTCGGCGGAGCTCTGTACGGTGCTCCCTTAAGCTACGTCACTCGCTGGCTGGTCTGCGGCACAGCATGACACAGGAGTCTGTTCGCCGTGCCTCACGCCGCTCCATGCTTAAGAGAAAGGTGGCTCGTATGGGCAACTCCACATGTAGCAGCAATGTTGATGGTGAGAAATAAACCATATTTGGTTGTTAACTTCATAACATGCTACTTTAGCAAATTCTACCTCACTTTATTCTTGTAAATCTGTTTATTATATTTGGCTGTTTTTCTAATTGTAGAGGACTCTTGCATGGACTTTGCAGAGGAAGAGGAAAAAGAGGTGTAAGTAATGAATTAAAATGTCTTTTTGCACAGATGAATATATTGACATCCTAATGGAAAAGAAAAAAACTGGTAACATTTTTTACTGTGACTGGTATATTTGTCAACATAACTTGCCCATAGCCACATGCGAATGGACATGATGATTCAATGTTCTTTTATTTATTTGAAAGTGTTCGTCACCCATATTAATTTATTCACTGCTGTAGCCCGTTAGAAGCTGCAACTGCAGACACAGAGGATAATTCGGCAGGCGAAGAATCAGTGGAAACTCCAGAGGTATGAATATGTGTCTTTGTCTAATGAGTGTCAAACAGAAATTCATTTTTATGCTTGGGTTATTGATCAGCTTACATTATTTAGACCCAGATTAACCAGCACATTCAACCGTCTGTTGGACGCATTACTCGGTCTGTGGCTGCAAACTCTCCCAAACTTGCGCCCCCATCACTGTATCCCGCTGAGCAAAAAATGAGCACTCCCAACAAGAGAACAGGTATGGGAACTCTCCATTTTAGGAATTTTTGTTACATTGGATTTGAGTTAAAAGGTCTTGTAATTTAAACACGTTTGTATAAAAAAATGCAACTTGTATGTGCTAAACACACGTTTGTGTCTGTTTCAGTTGTCACTGAGAAGCCTTCCCAGTCAGGTCGGAGGTGAGTGCTCTGTGTGTGTGTGTGTGTGAGTTTACCTAAATGACAGATGGGAGGGTCTTGCACTTTTTGATGACTGCAATGACACTGACAATGAGACTGTTGCATAAATGATGTGTTGTGTTACTTCTGTGTCTAGGTCACGCCAGAGTACCAAACGCAAAGCACCAGATACTGTAGAGGAAAGTCCCACAAAGAGGTTCTCTCCTCCCAAGAAAAGTCAAAGCGTAAGACCTAAAAATCTTGGTGTTGAATGCAAAATGGAGCATATGTATATAGTAATAATAATAATAATAATAATAATAATAATAATAATAATAATGAAAAATGGATTTCTCAACCAAACTGTAATATCTTCTCCCTTTGTTGTTAATACATAGGCAATCAGACCCAACATGAGATCTTTCCTTCACACTGTGCAGAAGAACCAGATGCTAATGATGACTCCAAATTCCCTTGGCCGGTCTGGTGTTATCAAGTCCTTCATTAAACACACCACGCCTATGAAGACTGATTACAAGGTGAATTTAACAGATGCATTGTCATGCAGTGTAATACCCGACTGTCGAGCCAGACGGTGGTAAAAGAGGCCAACTCTGCAATACTAACAGGTGTACAAAACACAGTTCATTAAAGGGAGGATGAGATTTTAATCAGCTTTATTTTAGCAAATGCCAGTCAATGTGCCTGGATAGACCCTGATGATTGACTCGAGAGATCTATACTGACTAACTAAACTCCACTTGCCCAAAACAGACGTCTGGTTTTGCAGTGAATTCAAAATAAATAGTATTTTTCCTGCATAACTCCTGATATCTTATAATTTCAGGTGTGTGTGTGTCCAAAACCAAACATATTGGAACCTGCAAAAGCACAAATTAACAATGTCACAAATTTAAACTGTTGTATTAAAAATAGAGTGCGTGTCCTTAAATTTTAAAAATATTGTGGGTCACATTTATGAATATTTGGATGTTTTTCTTTCTCCCTTCCCCAGTTGAGCGTTGGTTTAGTGGTAAGTGTAATGTTGAAGCACTGTATGTCTGGGCATTTGGTGGTGTCTAATATCCCCAGCTTGATTGAATGTCTCCTCATTTACCACATACATTTTTAGATAAGGCCCTTTCTCACTCATTTAAATGTTCAGGCTTTCCTCTGTATCAGAACTGAAATTAAGGCCCGGGCAGTTTGATAGCTGAAGATTTAGAAAGCTGTTGTTAAATATGGGCTCTAGTGAGAAAACAGTGGCTACGTTTCCAGATGAGTCACTCAAACGTTCGACTTTGTTTAACACAAATTTAAATGTGAGCCAGAGTCTGTACTACACTTTTTATGCACAGTAGACAGACTTGCATGTAAACAACCGAAACCGTATCACAATAATTTAGCCCTGAAATTTAGCAGGGTCTATTGGTGAAAGGGGCTACTGTGTTTCCACATCATCTGCACACCTTGTTAGTTGATGGTGTCTCTAATCCCACGGGTCATTAATGCTCATTCTTTGTAATCTTTAAACCTAACAATGCTTCAAACCACCTAAAATAACTTTGGTAACCTCACTGTTTGTTGGCTTTGAAACATAATTTCATCAGAAGTAGAAAGTGAAGTAAAAATCCATCTCAACCAGGAGCCATGAGTGTCAGTGGATAAAGATTTACTAGGGGAGGAGATCACACTAGAGAAAATGGCATTGTTCCTTTTTTTGGGGGGGGGCGGGTCTGGGTCATGTTCAAGTTTAATTTGTTGTAATCAAATGGTATTCAGCTACGGTTAGTGGTATTTGGGAACTTTGTCGTAATGTACTGGGTGATTGTCTGTGATGAGATAAACAGTTACATTAGTTAACATAGACATGACGGTAGACAAGTTATAATGGGTGATCTCTTTTAAACCAGCTACATCTTGTAGAATTGTAGGCTTGAAAGCTGCCTGTAAGTTTCTATTTCTTATTTTAAAAGTAACTTCCAGCAATGTCTTCCTCTACACTTAGCTGGTTGAATTTGTGCGCACACAGTAGTTTAGAGACTAACGATCACCGGTCAAAGGACAGGAGGATCTCTGCAGTTCAGCAGTGTGAGAACAAACTTTGATTTAACTCTTTAAGACCATGACCAAGTCTGTCAGGGTGGATTTTTGCTTCATCCGTCTGCTACAAGGATATGGTGATCTGTTTCCACATGAATGCACGCCACCTGCTACTTTGGATGCTTTAATGTTGGACACCTATTGCAGTGCATTAGAAATTGATTTCTGACAGCGTAGCTTTAATAAATCTTTGTTTTCTTTTCTCAGACGAAAGAGCGTCAGAAACTGGAAGCTCTTAAAAAGAAGCAGGAGCAAGAGGAGGAAAGAATGAAGAAAATGGAGGAGGAGAAGAAAAAGAAACAGGATGAACTTAAAAGGTTAACTCTCAGCCTCTTTATATACTCTCAACTGACATTTTAGTATAATCCTTTCCTTATTTTACTTATTATTTTACTTACGTATAAAATTTGTGTTACAGGAAGAGGGACGAGAGGCTAAGAAGAGTGTTTGAGGCCAAAGTCAAAGAAGAGCAAAGGGACCAAGAAAAGAAAAAGAAGATTGAGCAAAAAATGGCTCAGATTGATGAGAAGAATGATAAGGTATGCGACAAATTTGGGGTGTGTCAGTCTACATGTATAGCCCTGATATAACCCTTTTCCCCCTAATCTTTGATGTGACTGTGCTTCGTCATGCAGCGTCTGGCAGAGGAGAAGGCCAAAAAGAAGGGGGCTGTTAAACGTCAAGACGAGCAGGAGCAGAAGAGGAAGTTAGAAGAAGAGGCTAAACGGAAGAAGATTCAGCAAGCTGTGAGACGATGCTCTTTTAGTATTTATTTAGTTTTTACGTTGGTGTAGCTATGCTCAGCAAACTGAGGCTTTATCACATGTCAGTGCATGCAGAGCCCGTTCCCATCCTGCACAATAATGCCTATTGTCCACTCTGGTGGATGTAACCCTACTAGCTGATGAGTAATTTTTACTATAGGTTTTAGTGTTTTTATTTATTTATTTTTTTAAATAAATTTTCATATGGTTGTTAAACATATTCAAAGAGGTTATGTCTCATCAATATAAAGTACACATTTTTCATCTCTTTTCCTGTGGCAGGAAGTTCTGCCAATATTACATTTTCCTGACAGGCTTTTTTTGTTTGTTTGTGTTTTCTAAAACTTAAGGAGGAAGAGAAGCGGCTGCAAGAGTTACTGGTCAAGAAGAAGGCTGAGGAAGAGGAACAGCGAGCTCGTAAGCTGGCTGAAGCTCGCAAAGTGCTGGAGCTGAAGAGAGAGCAGGAGAGGGAGAGAGAGGTGGAGAGAGAACGACTGGCTGCTGCTGAAAGGTCTGTAATGACTGCTTTTACTTTTGAACTAAGTAGCCTAATTAACTTTTGAACATGGTAATGGTGTGTTACACTGAAACTTGCATCAGTGAAAACCATAAGGAAAAGGTCTGTATTTACTCCAGAGTTTGTTTTACTGATTTGCGGTCTGTTTTTCAGGGAGCGAGTGGAAAAAGAAAAGGCTCTCGCTCTGCAAAGGGAACTGGAGAGAGCAGCAAGAGAGAAGGAGAGGAGAGAACTGGAAGAGAAAAAAAAGGCACTTGAAGAAAAAAAAAGACTGGTAAGAAATAGAAATTTATAACCAAAACATCTTTTAACACGTCTGAACAGTGATAGTTTAAGCAGTCCAAAGGGAATTAGTTAATTAATGTCACCATTAAGCTTGATTTATACTCCTGTGGCGGGTCTATGTGTGTAGCTACGCACGAAGCCATGCATTTATACTTGAGCGTTGACGTCGTTCTGCAATTAAACCGCCAAAAGCTTGTTGGCAGTAGCGCTACATCGTCCACCATGTTGACTTTTGCTGGCCAAGCAGGCTAACTTCCGGTTTAGCCCTCTTTTAATGTGAATGGGGGTAAAATTGTTATAGGGTGTTATAGCCTTTTCAAATGATATCATCCGAATGGATCACATTCTGATAGTGAAACGAGTCATCCGGTTTTGACGGTCAAATATATTGATCCACCATGTTACAGCCACTGGTTTGGCCACTAGTAGATTTTACTTCAAAGTATGGGGCACTTCCTGTTGGCTCTGAGGCATTGCGAGGCTACCCAGCCGACCAATCACAGTTCTTACGGTCCGCGTTGCCTCAACGTGTAATTACATTTTTGAGGAGGTGCACGTCAGGTGACGGTGTAGCGACGGCGTAGGGTACAGGGCTACACAGAGGCTACGCCATCGATTCGATGCAGAAGTATAAATTGCAATTTAGAATGCATTGTAACTGACAAGTTGTTAAAAGACTGCATGTTGTAAAGTATCAAAACTCAAACTTTTCAGATCACTCCTGCAGTGCAGTGTACATAGGGCAAAAAAATTCAATACTTTATTCATTCAAAGAAGGTTAAAGTCAAGGGCAACTGGACTTGGTTGAAGATACTACAAGACGTTTTGTCCCTCATCCGCAAGACTTCAGTTCTGACAACATACCAATAAGTGCCCAAGCAAGAGAGAAGGAACAGTACCAACTGAAGGGGGCACTTGCAGCCTGTGGATACACTAAATGGACCTTTGTGAAAATTGCCACAAGATCCAGGAAGAAGAACAACACTACAAGGGATGAGAAGATCAAACGCAACAATATTGTGATTCGATACGTGTCTGGAGTGTCAGAGAAACTCAGGAGGATTTTCAACAAACGCCACAAATCTGTGTGTTTTTTTTTTTTTTAAACCCAAGAGCATGCTAAGACATAAACTAGTACACCCAAAAGGCCGCACAGCCAAACACAAGAAAAGCAATCTAGTGTATGCAATCCAATGCAGTGAGGAATGCACAGGGCTAACTCCTCAGGTCAAGACTCACACTTAAAGGACAAAGGACACTCGTTTAAGGATCACCAGTTGCACATTTTAGACAGAGAGGATGGATGGTTTGAAAGAGGTGCTCAAAGGCCATGACAAAAAGTCGGAAAGACACAATGCTTCAATTTACAGGGTTTATTGTGACCTAAATTAACCAAAAATAATGCTTAAATTTTGGGATGGGTCAGTCAGCAACATCAGTAGTGTAAGTGTGTGGATGGGTGATCATGGTGTAAACTGTTGTGGTGTCAAATTAAAGCAAACATGTAAAAAAAAAAAAAAAAAGTTGTAGTTGCTGGCAGGGAGGATGGGAGAGAGAGAGAAAGACACGATCTTGGAGGTATGGCTTTTATCTCCTGTGGAGCACTGGGGCAAGGTGTTCCAGATCAGGGAGGGACCACTGCAATCAGCTCCTCAAACAGAAAAGCACATCACTATTACAGTACTGAGACATACACACACACACATTCAAGCCACATGGGAGAGTCAGTTGTCTCATAATGGGCATGTACAGATTTCAGGAAAAAAATATTTTTCATTGGATAGTCCTGGTTTACACACATTTTAAAGTTAATGTATTAAGATATTCAGCAGCTCTTGGTTTGTTAGTTTGGCCACTCGGCTGTCTGGTTGCTCATGTGTTTATTTTATTTTTGTTGTACTAGGAGGAGCAGCAGAGATTAGCTGCCGAAGAGAAAGCTGCCAAAGAGAGAGAAGCTGCTGCTAAAAAGGCTGCTGATGCACAGGTAAACCAGCGTCCACACCGCAAGCCTTAGTGCTCGGATTTGGATATTTTGCTCAGAGCAAAATTTGTTTGGCTGTTCACTTTATTTTTAGTATGTGGCTAATATCAAATTCCAGTGTAAACACTTCCGCGTTCCTGAACTAACCACCATGCACAAAAGAACAATAACAAAGATGCCACATGGGGATGCTTATTTGGAGCCAGAAGAGATGGGATTATGATGTGAATGCCTTTTAGAGGAACAAATTTCATCCAAAACCTCAGGATGTCATGGGCTACTTTTAACTGTCAGCGCCTCCCTCCGTCATTCTATATTAACTCCCGCCAGCGCAGACTTGTGACAAAAGTCACGTAAAAGTCTCATGAATTCTGAAATGAAGTTGAAATCAGAATTGAAAAGGCACGATTCCATTTGTGTTTAAGCCATTTTGGCCTGCAGTCTGTAGTCTACAGTGTGAAACTGTATAGGCATTCATTCCCAGGTCAAATGACTGCAGTAGTCACGTGTATTTATCAGCTCCAATCAGCAGTGATGCAACTAGCATAAAAGGCAAACTCGTCTACTGGCGATGTGAAAGGAGTCAATCTCCTATTTCTATTGCTTTTATCCACATTTAGAAAACGTGCATATATGTGCTCATTCTGGTGTAAAAGGGCATTAGTGTAGGTACACATGTACAGCTGAACATAAGCAAAAGTTAACTCAAAGGCCCGATTTACTAACATCCCGAGTACTAAATTGCGTGTGCATTCTAAAATATTGCATGTGCAATTTTAGTACCTGTTATGGGTGATTTACTAAGAATTATTGCATAGATGACAACAGGAGCAAACACAATGGAGGTGGGAGTATTTAAATGAGGGTTTTGCGTGTTTTAATGGTTTCCGTCATGGAGAGTCGGAGTGAAAGCAGCGACGGCGCGAAAACCTTGGTTTGTTTCGTTCAGTGTGTCCGGAGTATGTGGAAATCGTATGTACCTGCAAGTACTTGGGACAGCACACCTGGAAAAACTGCTTTAGGAAACCCCAGCAGAAACGGCTACAATATGCTGGAATGACTCAGACGCGAGGAAATGCCAGCAGCAGAGGAAACAATCACTGACCGTGCCCGGTTGCCCTGGGATCTCCTGTCCCTGGCCCTGTACACACCCTCTCTGATACCTACAATGGGTTGTGTCGCAATATTATGACCGGCGCGCTGTGAGCAGTTGGTGATCGTTCCCTCTGGCTGGATGAATTTTACTCATGATCCATGCACTACTGCAGCTGGGGGCTCTCCGCAGCGCCACACAACTTTCTTACCTCTTCCATCTCACGGAGAAAAGAAGGAAATTTGCTTTATTGGCATGAATTTAAAACAGTATTGACAAAGCTAAAGGAAAATACAAAGAAATTCCATTCATATAGTTCATTGAATAAATAAAATAATTGTATTTCTATATATTAGATATAGAATAATATTATTAACTTCTCTACGTTTACTTTCATTATGGCTGTGTCTCCTTCTGGCAACAATAACAGCAGCCATCTCTGTGCAACACTTGGCGATTTGCACCTTCCTTTCAAACGTATTAAATACAGAGGCTGTTGCACTCACGTGAAATTGTGTTTATGCTTGGTAGATCACATTGCGTGTAGTAAATGTATTTGCACGTTGCGCCCCAAATTGTATATTCAGTAAGGCAAAAGTACTAAATGAACAACAGGTGCAATCTTGCGCTTTTGAATGACGTCACTCTGCGTGCCCACCGTTAGTAGATCATCTTACGTGCTAATTTGCTGGTGATATCAAGTTTACACACGTTTTTACTCTCGTGAACCTTTAGTAAATCAGGCCCATAGACTTTGCTCTTGACCACTTTTGACTTGACTTGACTTTTCTGAAATAGTCTATATAAAAGTGTTTCGTTTTCTGTGGATTATGCAGTTATTTGGGTGAATTGACACAGTACATAATATTGTATTTTCCATCTTTTTGAAGAACGCTGCTGCCCTGAATATGACTGTGGACATGGAGGTAAGGATTTAACACAGCCACTCTGAAAATAATTTCAGTTGAATAAACAAGGGGACATTTTGGAATAATACACATGAAACATTTACCTGAGCTGGGTTTTGTCTCTTAAAAAGTTGTTTAGTGCCTTTAGTGTTGCTCATCAAAAACACTTGTGTTCTGGGGGCTAACAAACACGCTGTGCTTATTTTTTTTTACCACTTTTCTTTTCAATCTTTGCAGCGCTCTGTAATGTGCACGCCTGTAAGAAAAGATGGTGGCCTCAATGTGACTGTGGATATTGAGGTAAATTAAATGAAGCATCTTTAATCAATGTCTATCTAATGAAAATAAGATTTTTTTCTTCAGAGCAAAGCCTGAGCATGATGTGATTTATCCTCCCCTGCAGCGATCGCCACAATCATACTCCATCACTCCGAAGGGCGGCAACAAGCCTTTGATCCCCAAAACTGCAGAAGATTACGGGATGGACCAAAACAGTGACGACTCCACTGACGATGAGTCAGCCCCAAGGAAACCTATCCCATCCTGGGCAGAAGGTAGGAGAATTTACTGTAATAACTTATTATGATGACGTTCAGTCTGCAGTCCAGGCTGTTTTTAGTTGTTTTATAATGCTCAAGGCTGAAAGTGACTGTTCCCTGAATCCATCCCTCAAACGCGATTATCCAATCACAGGTTAGCAACAATAACTACACACAGTCCAGCTTTGGCTTTTTTATGTGGAAGCGATAAGCATGGGATTGTACTAAGGATGATACCTTGCAAGTGTGCAAAGTTGTGTGTTTCTTTATAGGCTTTCCTAATATAAGGAGTGGGTTACACATTTTCTATTCTAATATTAGCTGCAATTGTTAGTGTCTGGCTAGCTAGCGGACAACCTACAATAGTGAGCGTTCCAAGTCCGCACCAATCAAAAACTAACAACATTAGTTTATTGGTTTACAGGTTACCTTTTAAACTTGCACATTGTGTGTGTCTGTCTGCCATGAGTATGGTCCCACTTTGTGGAAGCCAGTTGTGGATGCTATCAGAGTTTAGACTAACTGTAGCAGCTCTGTCCTGCTCTAAAGACCAGCACGTGTTGGTCTTCGTCCTGAGATGTTACAAGTCAAAACATACAGTTTGAAAATAGAAAGCTGAACAGGTTTATGTTAAATGAGAGGTTTTCCAGCAAACAGTAAATTTCAATATTTAGATTTATTCCAAATTTTGATTGTTACATGCCTGATGTAGATTTAAATGAAACATGTACTTGTTTCCTTTCCTAGGTGCCAATCTGCAGCAGATTATTAGCAAGCAGTACTTCAACCCTCCTGATTTAGACTCTTTCTTCGGAACAATTGAACCACCAAAACTGGAAAACATCTTTTACAAGAGCAAGCCTCGCTATTTTAAACGCACCAGCTCTGCTGTTTGGCACTCTCCTCCAATTGGAAACAAGTAATGTCTATACAGCAATGTATATCTGTATCAGTGTACAAAGTTTTTATTTTTGTTTTGTCTGTTTCCAATAAAGTCACGTTTTTCTCTGTCATTTCTAATATTAAATTTTTTTAAGGTATTAGGCATCAACATTTTAGTAATATTACTAGTTATGTAAAATATCATGGATTTCAAGCGAGGAAATGCTTCACACTTGTACTTGAAAATGGGTGTTTATTATAATCCAGTTGGGTGTGAACTTGTGAAAGTTTTTACCAAGTGATCAGTAAAAACTAATTTGTATAATGTGTGTACTGACTGTAAATGATAGCAATGTGTGGGATTTATTCCAGTGTATTAAAATGGTAAGACCACAATATTGTGTAGGTTGCTGCTTTTGTTTGGATATTACATCATACACATCAGTCCAGATAAGAACATCTGTGGGGCTGTAGCATGGTTGTGCATGGCCTTTACATAAAACCTAAGTGGAACCAATAATAATTGTGATGGTTCTGTTCCATTTAGCTTTATCAGTAAACCCTTACAGTGAGGCAGCATGCATATCACCAGATCCCTCGAACTGAAATACGGCTATGTTGTTTACACCGGTGTTTTCCTGCTATGTCAGATTGTATGCCACATACAGAGTGTCACCCCCAGAAAACAAGTTAGTATTCAATTTTGCTTTCAATCTAAATGGATTCTTGCATTTAATTGGTCATTTAACATCATGGACGTGAAGGGAAAACTTTGAAGACCTACAAATCCAGCAGGACCAAATTTCATCAGCTGAAGAAGATGTGCTGCTCTGATCAAAACTCCACAACAACTACTAAATGGATCCTAGGGTGAGTCTGTTCTGTCAGTCGGTCTCTCCACAGTCATGAATAAACTTTACATCTACATATTTATAGGAAAGTTGGAACCATAGCAAGTTTATATTCAGTCTTTTCAAACTGAAGCACCTGTCACTCGTGAGCTGTGGTCATAATAAAACAAGGTCCTGGATCTGTTTGAACAACTGGGAGAATCGGTAGGATGATGCCAGTAGTATATTAGAAACAATAGTTTCCACACTGAGCAGAAGTTAAATTCTTGTCATGACTTGTTAAAGTAACCAGTGGTGAAATGGAACTAATTTACTCAAGTAGTGTACTTCAGTACAGATTTCAGGTATTTTACAGTGATTTCTTTTTATGCCACTATTTACTTCTACGGCACTACATTTTAGAGGGAAATATTGTATTTTTTTATGTCATTACAATTATCTGACTGATTTTACAAATTATATTTCTGCTTACAAAACATGAAGAACTTATACATTTCTAGTTAAAATTAAACTACCAAACACTAACTACAGCAGAAATGATTAGTTGATTGACAGATAATTAACTGGCAACTAGTCATTTTTCATGTAAAAACATGTCATGGTTCCAGCCTCACAAATATGAGGATTTTGCTGCTTTTCTTTTTAATACTTTTGAGGTTTGGACTGAATGTGTCACTTTGGGCCCTGGGTAATTGTGACGACATTTGTCACATTCTTCTGTATTTTTAAAAACCACACAATTAGTGGATTAAATAATCAACAAATCAATTCATAATGAAAATAATCATAGTTGCAGTCTTATACAAAACTGTTTTTAAATTTTTTTTTCAACCGTAAAACCCCTACTTTACATTAATGCATGAGTAATAATCATCAACAGTCACAAGGGACACTTTTATGCATTGAGTACTTTAAAAACTATGTACATTTTCCTAATTATACTTAAAAACTTTTACTTAAGTAAACTTATTTGCGGGAGTATTACAGTGTGGTATTAGTACTTTCACTTAAGTAAAATATTTGAATACTTCCTCCAACACTGCAACAATAACTGCTTATTGTTGTGTTAAATTAGATTTGTGGTGCCAAATCCACCGTGCACATGGCTGTGTTACTGATTATGTACAGTCCCGCCCCTTTAAATGCTAATGTTAATATGCTAACATGCCAATATCTGAGCCACCTCCTGATACAGGCAGGTATGAGCAGCTAACATCAGCCAGTCTGCTAATTTCTGTCGTTGGAACTTCCATGTATCATATTGCTTCAAAACCAGCATAGCCACTTTGTGAGAAGTTCGACATCGACAAACCAGGTACGTTTACAAAACAGCTTGAAGCTGTGTAGGTTGTAAATGATTTTAGTTGTCTGAGATGAACTGATGGAGATCTGGTTGCTAACAGTGACTAACGTTAGCGACATTAAGGATGTTAACGGCTACTTAATTATCTAGCTAGCTGATGTAATAAAATAAGCTATTAGGCCCCGTCAGTTATCACCAATCTTATCACCAATCAAGGCTGTTTTCCTCTTTAATTTAGTGTGTAGTGTTGGCCGCCGCCATGTTGGCAAGCTTTATCATTTGTCAGCCAATTTTGACCTAACGTTTGTTTTTTTGTTAACTTATATGAACATGTAACGTTAGCTAAACATTCTTCTGTGTCTTAATCACATCTGATTAGCCACGGGTTTGTAAAAGATATAACGTTATCAGTAACTAGCTCAAAATGGAAGTGTTTATTCATCTTGTTTATGGTGGCTCTGACCAATAACGCCTGCCTTTAAAAATACACTTAAGTTTCCAGCTTTTCAGTCAGTTATTGTGAGATGAAGGTCAGTCTGTCTGGATCGATATAAATGCAGTAAATTGACGATGCACCCAAATCAGCCTAAGCCACAGCCATGGGAGTACGTTTGTATAGGGGCACTTTTTTGTTAGAAAGTACAGAGGTTGTTACATGCATACTAAATATCCATCCATCCATCCATCCATCGTCAACCGCTTATCCTGCGTACAGGGTCGCGGGGCAAACTAAATAGCTGAACGAATTTACTTTGAAATCCCATTCACCACCATTGTATCTGGGTCAAGGCAGAAATCTCAATACTTGTGCAGGTAACGTTAATGTTAACGGTAAACCCATAATGGACTGCATCGGAGACATGCAACTAGTCTAAATGAAGGAAAATGTCTTTCTGTTTTAGTTGTCTATGCCTGTTATTGGTAGTTGTCTTTAAGGTATTTTGTTATCCAGTAATATACTGCCTTATTGGACCTGCAGAAAAGTGTCATACGAATGTGTTTATTCAATTATTCATTTTTACAGAAATGACTTCACAAATCCGCCAAAACTTCCACCAGGACTGCGAGGCTGCTATCAACAGACAGATAAACCTGGAGCTCTATGCCTCCTATGTTTATCTCTCTATGGTAAGACATGGTTTCGAATCGAACCAGCAATGCAATGTGCACCTCTCCTGTCCAGTGTTCATGGCTCAGTGTTATTTGTGTCTTTATAGCTCAGAGACAAAAACAAAGGCTTGTTGTTTGTTTTTAGGCATACTATTTTGATAGGGATGATAAATCCCTACCAAATTTTGCAAAGTTCTTTCACGCGCAGTCTAAAGAGGAGCGCAGTCATGCAGAGAAGATGATGAGCCTGCAGAACAAACGGGGAGGTAGAATTTTCCTGCAGGACATTAGGGTATGTACCTGTTTTCAAGTACTGATTCACAAAGTAAATCTTTCATAAAGGTGTTTTGGTGATACTTGAAGTACCAATTTATGATGCAATTACATTTTTTTTTGTTTTTATATTTCAGTTGCTTATTTTTGTTAACTCATCTTTTGGTTGTTTTTTTTTTTTTAAATCAGTATAACATCGGTGTTGAATTATTTATGTCTAGAAACCTGATAGAGATGAGTGGGGGAGTGGCCTGGAGGCTTTGGAGTGCGCCTTACAGCTGGAGAAAAGTGTAAACCAATCCCTGCTGGACCTGCAGAAAATGGCGACTGAGCACAGCGATCCTCATGTAAGCAGCAGACTGAGGGCCGGTGTGCACAGCATCTGGTTCCGTCAGGGTTCATTTGTTTCAGATTTCGTATACACACATGCACTGCAAAACTATTTTTACTTCCGTCTCCTCCTGCTCTGTGTTCACTTGTACTGCATTTTTAATAAGGGTTGGGTATTGAGAACCGGTTCAAAGTCCAACTGTTACCAGAAGCATGTATTAGTCAACACACATGCATTTCAATTCCAATTTTTTTGCATATTTGAGTTGCACTTCCTGATTGAACTGCAGTGAGCATCGCATCATCATAAGTTGCACTTGTCTGTCATTTGTCATTTTCTAACGCAGTGCATCAACAAAGCATACGAGGGACACCGTTTAGCTTAGTTGGTAGAGCGCACACCCCATGTACAAAGCTAAGTCCTTACCGCAGCGGCCTGAATTCGAGAATCACATCATCAATTTACAATCCTGGACCATGGCGTACTGCAGCCAACACTCAAAAGTTTGGCTTAGTTTTACTAAAAAAAACACAACACGGCAAAATGCAACACCTGCAGTAAGGATATTTCGTGCTGGGGAGGAAGAACTTCCAACATGACCAAGCATTTACTTCAACACGGCATGAATCTGAAGGAATGCACCATGTTCAGTGTGTTGCGGTCTCCAAGCTATGATGACGGCCCAGATACAGCCAACGCTAGCAGTAGCAACATCTCACACTCAAGTACAAAACACAGATGAGCTGTAATACCTGCAATTCCTGCCGGATGTGACAGTGGTGAGAATAACAGTCTTTCCTTTGTATCCACAGATGTGTGACTTCATAGAAACACATTTCCTGGATGAGCAAGTCAAATCTATCAAAGAGCTCGCTGACTTGATATCCAACCTGCGCCGCATGGGAGCCCCTCAGAATGGCATGGCTGAGTACCTCTTTGACAAACACACCATGGTTGACGAGGGTAGTTAAACTACTGTGACACTGATGACCATCCCGGTCACCGCTGCATGCCAGCTCGCCCCTTGTCCTTAACATGTACTGCATATAATACAGATAGCGCTGCTTTATTTATGTTTGTTGGCTGTCGATCAACTGCAGTTTGCAAAAGGCTTCAATAACTCTAAACTGACCTCACCTAGAAATAAAGACTGAGCAAATCTAATTCATGACATTTATGTGTTGATGCTTTCTGATTGTGTGTTTGGTGTTTCCAGTATGGAGTCTAAAACACTACATTTTAATCCATCCATCCATCATCAGCCGTACATCCTGCGTACAGGGTCGTGGGGGGCTGGTTCCAATCCCAGCTTACACAGTTTGTAATAAGTTTTAAATAATTTAAAAAAAAAAATAAAAAATGACAATATATAAGGTCTTATATCCCACATGTTTCATACATGATCCACATTTGTCTCCTGATTTTTGAATTTGCATCTTATTTTTCTTTTTCAGGCTTAAATTTAGTCAAAACTCATTCTGATAGTCTGAAGTACTTTTTGTTCCCAATATTGCTCCTTTTTATTGTGTTATTGAGGACATTTAAAAGAACGGGAGTCCTCAAACCTGGCTATTGTTTTAGTATGTGCCCATGAAGGCGGCTGCTAATTCTCTGTGTTGAGCTTATTTTAGTTGTCTTATTAAGAAAAACATCTTTTACAATTAATTTGTACATGAATTGGCAAAGGAAAAACAATTGACAAATGAACACTAGTTAGAGTATTCCAGTAAAGTGGAATTAATTAAAAACTAAATTGTTTTATTATAATTTCACTACTTACCACAAGTAGTTTTGGTCACTTTCATAATTTAATGTTATCTGAACACATCATATGAATAAGCAGGTGAAAACTGTGAAAATGTTTCCTCAACTTGTTTCTTCAGGAGACGCATTGCTTTCTATAATTTATTTATTTAGTGGTTGTGAATTTAAGTTGTACATATAGTCCAGTTGCATAATAAAAGTAATAGTCGCAAACATCATTTCAGGTTTGAATGTTTATTGAAAAAAAACAAAATGACAAAAGAAACATAACATGATACTTTTTTAATTAAAGAGTACACTGATGGAAACAATGCTAAGAAGATTTTAGAATATACACATTTTGGCTCGGTGTCGCTGAGTTTCAGAGGAAGCTGGAAAGAGTTTCTTATTTTTCCTTCACATGTTGACGGTTAAATCTCATAAGGTGCTTTTTGCATTACAAATAGGTTAATTGTTCTCTAAAAGCTTATTAGGAAGATTAACTCGGTGATTGCCAAAAAACTTTTCAGTTGTGTGTATGGCTCCAGATGACTGTAATGCACTTCAGATATTAACAAAGATCAGTGGCTGCTGGTGTGAAATGTTTTGAATGATACAAAAACAGTCTGTCACAGCTTCTCATCTCAGTCCTGCTCCTTCCCTCCTGCTGCCTTGTTCACGCCACCGTCCACCAAAACTCCCAGCAGGTCCCCTTCAGCCAATGAGATGCCTGAATCATTGGGTGAGTTTTGCTGATTGGTTTCTTGCTGCTGTGACGCTGAAGTGGAAACTGTATTCATGTTATTGCTCAGCCCGCCGTTAGTGCCCCCGTTGCTTGCTCTCATGTTGGCGGCGAAGTTCCCATGGTTACTAAAATTACTGTGACTTGTACCGTTGCAGAGATTTCCCGTTGTGCCAGCGCCGCTGGTGCTTGTTGCATTAATGCTGCTAGAGCTGCTGGTGGGATTACTGGGATTTGCTGCTGCTGCGCGAGAAGGAGGAGTGAACGAAAACACCCTTTCTCCTCCGCTTCCTGCCGTCCGAGCACTCAGGGGTCCGGGCTGGCTGTCCGCTGAGGGGAGGGGGTCCAGAGTAAGGCGGAGAGGTGGAGGGCGGCGAGACAGAAGGCCATGTCCAGGTCTTAGTTTAGATATTGGGCAGAGTTCAGGTGGGGGGTCAGGGAAGGAGAAGGCAGGGGTATTCGGCACCTCTCCATCCTCGCTCAGCCAGGGGAAAGCAGAGGACGGCGGTGGTGGGAGGTTATTGGGAGTGTCGGGAGGCAGCATCTGTGAGCCCACCATTGGAGGTGCAAGGGAGCTGCAGCTGCGGTCCCACTCGTTCTGAGTTCGGCGGGCAGGTCGAGGGCGGGGCACCGCGGGGGGCACACAGTGGATGGGTGTTTGGGGGCAGCTATAGAAACCCGGTCTCTCATACAAGGGCATGGTGGAGAAGGCATAGTCTGGATCTCGCTCTTGGTTTAAAGGCTGGCGGCCTTGATTGGGAGTTGATGGTGTCTCGGGGTGCAGGTAAAGAGGGAAGCGACTTAGTGGTGCTCCAGGGCGGCGCCGCAGCAGAGAGACCCGAGAGGAGCGAGGAAAGTTAGGGGACTGGACACCGAGAAGACGACCCAGCCCTCCGATCAACGGGGTGGAGTAGTTGGCCTCCTCATGTTCTTTGATTTGCTCCAGGTTGGACTGAAATTCCATCTCCTCCTTAGGAACACTAGTTTAAATAGAGGGTTATGTGATGGTTAGCTAGAGTCTTTGAGAAAAATATATGCCAGAAAATAAAAACATTACTGAACCTGATATCAAGGGCTGAGCCCATGAAGGAGGGTTTGCGGTGTTCAGCACTGGCAGCAGTGTAGGGAGGCTGAGGTTCAGACTCATTCCAGTACATATCCCTCTCAACCAGCGGCAGGCTGTCGTACATCTCATCCACAGACAACAAGGAAACCTGAGAGACAACAGAAACCACCCCAAGTAGAACAAGTCAGCCTCTGTCCTACGGTCAGTGTAAAAGTGGGAAATAGTTTGGTTTGAATCTAAACCTGTAAATTGCGATCAACGAGCCAGTTGGTCTCAAAGTCGTCATCATCTTCACCAAAAGGATTGATGAGTTGCTCAGCCACCTGAGACCATGAACAGGAAATACCACAGCACAGCTCAGAAATGGATAAATAAATAAAACACTGATGAGTGTGACTCACTTCTTCTGCCCCTCACCTTCAGCCAACCAACGTAGAAGAAAAACTGCAGCAGGGTGAAAACAGGCAGGTAGAAATCCAGATCGTGACCTGGGTAACCCTGAGCTGGATCCAAGAACTGACGACCAATCAGACAAGCCAGGAAGAAGCTGTAGACCGCCACTGTCACCACCTAGTTAAAAGAGATTAGTCAAGTCTGAATACCACAGAGAAAGTGTTTGCTTTTTTCTTCTTTCTTTTTTTTTTTTTGCAGATTTCTTTTTCAAGGTCAGACTGCTAATTTTGATCAAACGGAGTTAATCATTTCAGTTACATGATGATTACTGTAACACAAAATCAAATTATTTATAGCCTATGAGCAGCCTAATATTAGCTTGCTGTCATTGCACTAATCATTGTATTACAAAATGACAATTAATTAAGGCATTAACTATATTCCAGTTATAGCATAGTGTATCAACAAAACCTGAGTATAGACAAGAGGCAGGCTGATCCAGTCATAACCGTACAGCTTCATACACTTTGCCCGTAAACTATTCAACTCCTAAACAGAGGGGGGGAAGCAGGACAGGCAAAACCAAATTTAAAAAAAAACTGTTTCAGAGCTAAATTTGCCACAAAGTGAAGATGTTTGGGTTATTTTGTCATGCAGACGGATTAACATGAAGACCTACAGAGAGAATGGCTGTAAGCGCCACGTCGTTGTTGATGCGACCCTCAGTCCGAGCCCTCAGAGCCAGGCTGACGAACCACATGCAGGGGACCCAGAACTTGTTGTGAGGAGAGGGCAAGTCCTCCAGGTGCCTCAGCTCCTCTGACGTCATCAGACCTGAGAGGCACAAATGCAGGAAAATGAAAGTAGCTAAAATTATACAAAGAGAGAAAGCCTTTAAGATGTTTGTTGAGTCTGAACCTGTGCCACGCTGGGCCAAATGCACCACTTCACACAGATCACATAAAGAATTTTAAAAAGTGCAAACAGACCCTGGAGCTTTGGATGTGTGCTGTATGCGAACAGTGACACAACGGTGACTTTTGGTGGTTTCATCGTACCTGCCTGCACCAGATGCTCCATGGTGGGAAACCTCTTGTAAACAGCTGTGCTGACAGAGCGGTAAATGAGCACACCAGAGAGGTTGGCGTATCGCATCAGAGTTCGTCGGGTCAGCCTGGAGGTCTCATCAGCTCCACGAACATGACCCCCGACTAAAGCTGCCAATCGGTCCGGCCAGGGGACGTTCTCAAACTGGCCCCACCAACGGGACACGACCAAGGTGACATAGAAACCTGGCAAACAATGAACAAATAATTAATATGATATGCCAACCTCCTGTGATGGGTTCCAGGAACACGGTCTTAGATTGAGATGTATGCACATCTATTGCCCATGTTTAGATTTAATTTTAAAGTAGTTAAACAATCAGCCCTCAACTCACCCAGCACAAACGACACAGGGATGAGCTCGGCATAGCGGTCACAGTATAGTGACAGCTTCTCAAAAAGCCTCTTCTGGTCTTCATTAAACACAAACCTGGTGAAGGAAACATCTATTGAGTCCATAACAACTAAAACACAGGGAGGTGACATTTACACAACGGTCTATGGACTAATGGCAGCATGGTACTCACTGTGTTGTTATAACATGTTTCTCACTTTGACAAGATATTTTTAATGTTATAACAAGATATGTAATTATAAAATGTTCTTATTATTGCAACATACCAAATTATTTTGTTTTTCTTGCATAACTTGCATTTCTTTTTATCTTTTTATATCACAAAACAAAACAAATGTATCTCATTAAAATGAGCAAACCTTTGTCTTTATAACACAAGTTGGTATGTTTTTAGGAAGAAACCATATGTTGTTAACATGAGAAAAAAAGGGTCCAGTCTTGTTATAACAGAATCAGTTTGTTGTTATAACGAGAAAAGGATCTAAAATGAAAACATTTTCTTGTTATTATTAGAAACTGTAAAGCACACTTACTAAACCAAACCTTTTCATGTGAAGGACCCATAAATACAGAACTGTGTAATGACCCCCATTTGAAAATTTCAGTCCAGTAAAAATGCACTTTAAGTAAATTTAACTTTGTCATACATGTACACAACAGTAATTGGTGTACTGAAAGCGTGATGGAAACAGTTGTCCTGAAACTATACAGTTATCTTTATATACTTTTAGGGACAAAACATTTTATTATATGTTAAATTTTACATTCCATACGCTATGGACCCTGTTGTCCCCAGATTCCCGCTTTAAGACATCCTAGATTTGATGAGTGAATAAATACTGTTAAATAATATTACTATTACTATATCGGTCCTGGCCTAATATCAGACAATATTGGCTTATCAAAGATATATCGGTAAGTTGGCCATTAAGTAACTGCATAATTGCTAGACAGAAATGCCATAGAAACATTGGAAATAATTTAGAAACTGTTTCTATTACATAGTTGTCCACCAGAGAAGAGAACAGTGATAAGTTTATTCTTATATTGCAGAATGTCCTGATTAATATTAATCTCCAGTAACTAAATTTAAGTGATCATTAACAGACCTGTCTAGATAAAAAATAAATATCAGATGATATGTAGTTTTTAAAACTCAAACATTTGTCTGGATCAGCCTCAAAAATCCAGTACAAACTATCGTCAGTCTGGGCTCAGACTAGAGGGCATGAAATATTACTAATGGCGTTTTCTCAAAGAGAGTACCTATAAACTATACTGAAGAAGTAGTAGAGAAAAGTGAAGATGATGAGCTCTCTGTAGAGCAGTTTATAGATGCTGCCTTTCCATCGCAGAAGCAGGTGAAAGAAGGTCCCCAGACCTGCATCAGCAACCCTGCGAGAGTATGTTACTGTCATTGCTGCTGCTCGCTGGCCGACTTTCTGGCTGACTGTGGCGTGACATGAAGGAAACCAGTGTGATGTTGTTCTCTGTGCTTCGTCTGAGCTCAGCTATCAACCTGGATTTGCCAATTTGGTCACATATCTAAAATGATAAAATTAAACACAACCAGGTTAGTTATTTCATTCATATTCTCTACCTACTCCACACTCTATGTGTTTGGATTTATATACCCCTACTATGTTGAGAAACAGAGTAGGGCTAAATCATACTAAATCTACTGACACTGATTTTCCATTTTCTACATATTTAAATGATCAGTTAAAATGATAAATTTCCTTATTTTATGGATCTAAATTACACAACTATATCCGAAGAGATGTCTGCAGGGCTACAACAAGCAAATACAATATGTGAGGGTTCTAAAAAGTAAATTCTACCAACTCACACACAAAGCTGTGAAGTTGTGGATACTTACCACTCAATATGAAAACGTCTGGCCATCGCACTCGATGTGGTTCGAGATGTGTGGCGGCAGCGTCCGTGGAGAATGTTGGAGAAAGGGAAGCAGGAAAGAAAAAAAAAGAGAAAAAGGGGCTCCTACACCTCCGGTCACTTGATGTGTTAATCTGTTTCAGCAACAAAGCTGCATTGTGAGGCCGGGTCCTGTTAATCTGAAGTGCCTACACTGCCACAAATAGGTTGGTTTGAAGGCATGAGCGCTTGTTGTGTTCAGATTTTGGAAATACAACCAAATCAATTTCAGCAACTTTTCTACCCATTTCCTTCAAAGTTTAACGACCAGTTAGGCTTATTTCCCCTTTTCTTCTGTTGAATCACAAACACACACACATTTGAACATATTCTCGTGTTTTGATTTCAGCAAACTTCTAGAGGCAAAAGTGATTCTTTTCCGTTTGAAACATCAGTCAGCTATTGTTCATGGAAAAATCTTGATCTGGTGAGACTCTGCGCCTCCCCTCTGCTGGAAGAAATGTGTACAACTGGACTCTAACTGGCCAGAAAGTGTTAGTGATTAACCCTTCCTGTCTAACCAGGAGACCAACAGCAGGGCGAAGTGCAGAGACAACCTGCTGAACTCTTGAGATTATCAAAGCACAATTTCAGCAGCTTTTTTGATGCAGTGGCAACAACTGAGGAACACTTTGGTGGGTATATTCTGTGTATTTTTGTGTCCTTAAGACATCCTGGATGACTGTCTATTGTGTGTGTGATACTTGCATGAGACTGTTACTTAATGTTGGTTTTGTTTGCATTGGATATCTCAAAGAAACAAATTCCTTTAGTATGACAACCTGCAAAGAAAACCTGCCATACCTCCTCTAGCTCTGCAGTATTCAGAGAAGGAAGAAGTGAGTAAGTTACAGTTTAAACACTGTAGAGGTCACAGCTTGTCCGTTGACTACTGGAAGACCTTGACTGTGAGGTTTGGCAAAACTTTCATGTGCTTTTATGTTGCAGTATGTAACTCTTTCTCCTCTGCATTTTAGGTGCTTGACACCCACAGACATCAGGATCATTACACACCAGTAAAAGCTTTTAATAAAGCGATTGTAACTTCAATGAGGACGTCTAGTAGTTTCTGATTAGTCTCTGTACTGCCTGAGAGAGACATGGATGCTTTTGAGGGAATTCACAGCGTCCAAATTTCCTCTTCTCCACCATCTTCGACAACAGCAAGCCCAGGATATGAAGTCCTCAAAACAGGGAGAGCTGGAATAGCAGTATATTCCTCTGCCGTCTTCTTTGGCACACCGGATGTCCTGAGAAGGCCAGTTGCCAGACACAAGTCCAGCAGGAAAGCTGAGGAGGAAGGCTGTGTTGTTGGACGGTAAGTGAAGTAAAACCTAAAGCCCTGGGATGAGAGAAAGATGAGTTTGATCTTACCTGTATGAGGTAAAGATGATGGTTTTAATTGGTTAAACACTTTACTCTCCATGATATTGGTACCACTGCACCTACATAGGAGACAGCAATCAGTTAATTTTCACACTGATCTAACAAAAATCTACTACAGATGTGGTTCTGTTGGACACAATGTTCACTTAAACTCCACTTTTAAATAATCTGTTGAAATCGTGAAAAGGTAACAAGACCTGTGAGTCACTCCTGCGCTGCTCTGTCACAACTTCAACCCACTGAACGGACGAATGTTCCCTTTAGGATTGCTCATGTTTTCAATCTGTGACCTTCACATTAAAGTAGTAGCCTAATTGTCAAGCCAGATGACTACACATGTAAACTAGCAAACAAAAGTTTTATTCCCTAGAACAGCCATTGGACAAATATAGTAAAGAGAGTCCAAAACAGAGGAACGTTGGCTTATACCAGCAGCATGTTCACAGAGCACACAGTCAGGCGTGCTTTCAGTCTGTGGTGCCTACTGCAGGGTCAGCTCAGGACTTGTTTTGATTTTAACTTTCTAATATATGAGAGTACAGACAGTAGAGAGCTGACAGGAAATGAGGGAAGAGAGGGAGATGGGGGAAGAAGTGCCACAAAGGTCCCGTGCACTGGTGTGCTTTATTATGGCAGATTTCTTATTTGTAGAATACGAGGGGGGTGAACTACTTTGGTATGAGAGTTTGCATGTAAACCCTGTGTGATAAGTATAATAATAATAATGTTGTCAGTACTCTTTAACCAACAAACTATGTAATGGGGGCACTGTTTTTAAGAACGTATGTGGCATTTCTGCACTGCAGTTTCTTTTTACTAATTGGTAGGAGGCCAATATTATCTGGGATAATCAACCAATTTATTGTTTTGTTTCATGGGAAATAGATAAATCTGCTTATATTTGTTCACTATTTGATTATTGGTAAATTCACTTTAACAATAATCAAAGTGCTTTATTTATTTTTTATTTCATGAATAACTGCACTACAGTTAAAAAGGTCTGATGTATAGTAAACTGTCTCTAAAGACATGCGTTATCATGGAATGCGTTTGGAAAGGTACAACGAATGCAAACTATATGAAGTATTTAATTGACAGTGAATACTCTGCAGGATTACCAATGCTTTTATATGGGTTGAGATAAATCTCCTACTTCTTGAGCTAAATGACCCCTTGGATTAGCTAGAAAACAAACCTGAAAACAGGGCTGTTTTTCTGAGCTCATGAAAAGTTGACTATTACTCTCAGTCGTGATGATCTTATAGAATATGATGCACTGTTGTAGATTAAACTACCCAACTGCATATAAAGTGGATAAAAATAATCAATCAATAATAATAAAATCAACACAATGAACATCTGCAGCAGCGATTACTCTTAAAACATCACACATTACAGTAAAACACTGACAGGGAGCACTTTCTGCATAATTAATACTTTAAGTACATTTTGCTGATATTTTTTTTAGATTTTGACTGACTTGTAATTGCAGGATTTACCACTTTGATAGATGGGATGGCTTTATGGTAGGCTTTTTGATAATTTTTACTAGCTTTGGCCAAGTTTGCATTTTTACTACTCTTGTTGAGAGTGAAAGAAACTAGTTGTTTCAATGAGTAGCTTACTTTTAACTTTGTGTTGTCTTTGTGCAGTCTTTGGCTATACATTTCACATTAATCGACTTACAATCAACTCAGGTTGGTGGAAAATGGAGGAGGATGTCTTGTGCAGACTACCATAGTTCAGTACAGATCCCACAAATTTGTAATCTCACTTGTCTGTTGATTTTTCTCTGAAAAACAAATAGGTGAAAAGTATAGCCTATATTATCAAATCATAAATGATTTCCCCCCTTATACCGCCTGGTGACTGCAGAAATATTCCTGAATAGGCCTGCTTATTCCACCACTGCTTAACAGAGGGCCAGCTCATCATTTGGGCCCCTTAGTAGGACAATCTGGCCATGATGGTACTCATTTTAAAATGGCTTTATTAGTGAATAATGTGTGTGCTTGAAGTTTTCATTGGTATAGGCCTGACTGTCTGGCCTCACTTACACCCACGTATAGATAAACAGCCAACAAACAGCTAACCATGCCAGGTGAAATAAAAAGATGACTCTGTGAGTGTGACTACACTAATGCTGACTGGATGAATGTGGCGGTGTGCTGAGGCTGCGGGCTCCGGACGGGATGTTTCAGGACGGTTAGAGCGAGTGGATGAGCTGTCATGTGACTGGAGAGAAAGAAAGAGGCAGAGCGGAGACACTCGTTTTTTCCCTCTTGCTGGATAAAAGAACAAGGGATGCGAAGGAAGAAAAACAGTGCAGGACAAAGCTGGAAAAGTGTACCACACTAAATCGTCGTTACACTTTAACGTTACCGTTCCGGACTGCTGCCGTTGTTGTTGTTGTCGGTTTGTTCAGTTGTCTACGTCAGCGTCCGCATTCCTCCGCTGTGATTTCAAACGGCTGAGATTAGTTTAACTGCAACTAGCTAACGTTAGCTCACTTATTTGTTAATTTAACAACAACAACAACTACTACTACTAGTACTACTGAAGGACACTGGAGGGGAGAAGCTGACAGACAGGGTGGGAGGTTTATCTGCTGCTGGACACTGACAGGGTAAGGGCGGATGCGGATTCCCTCCGTATTAAAAAGTTGCAACTTACGACGATTAACTTAGCTAGCTAAACGTCCCGGTCTGTAACTTAAGTTCGTAAACTTGGGTGATTTGAGCATGAATTTTAACGTTACAGCTTTGTGGGGAAACGAAATGAAATGCGAATGCTAATGCAGTAACGTTAAGTGTCTAAAACTGTGGTCCGGGGTCAGCTCACAGGTCTGTAAATCAAGTCATTTCCCTCACTAGCTGTAACTTAATGAGAAAATGTATAGTTTTACATCATAAAAGCTGGAAAAGAGGAAATATTTGATGTTGTCAGACACAATTCTGTTGTATAAATCGACGATAAGCAAATATTGTTAGAAAACTTTGGTGGGAAACATTTTAAAGAACACCATATTGAAATATCAGTGTTATGTTGTAACTTAGGCTATACCCTAATATTTTGAACATTTAAATCATGTATTTAAAGATCAAAATTATCCACATATAGTAAATATACACCCAGTTTATTTGGTCTAGCTAGCTACAAATAATGGTGTCTCAGCGACCCAGGAATAAACCCTTCTAGACCATATAATGATATGATCTGTGCTAATGAATTGTAAGAGATACATCAGTTTCTGTTTTTACGTATAAAATAATAAAAGCATTTAAAAGTACAACACACTGTGGTTTACACTGTACTTGTTATTAGTATAAACAAAAACTGAACAATATAACCATAATGGTGTTAATAGTTAGGATGTATTCGGTTTAACAAGCCTTAACGTTACCTAAAAAAACAAAAAACTGAATGTATATAGTTTTGAGTTTTTATGATGATCTTAGCAGTTTAGTTACCCATAATATACCCCAGTCCTACATGAAAATGATGACTCTGGTTTCATGCTCCTCATTAGGTTCACTTGCCGTGTATCCATTTGTGAATCCTCAACATGAAACACTGTCAAACTAAAATGGTTTCATTTGTAAGGGACGATGTAACGTTACAATATTAAACATACGGGAGTTATTTTAAAAGCTAACTTATATCTGCAGCCCTTTTCCAGTAACAATTAAAACATACACACAGCGACGTACAACATGCAGCATATAGGACAGGGCAGGCAAAATGTGAAGAGTCAGTCAATATCATTAAATCAACCGTATTTCCTAATCATGGACTGGATAAAACACGGACGTAGTCTCTAGTTGTGGGCGGTTTCGCCTGTCGCCATCTTGGCACTACTTGACTTGCCTCCCCGGCTAATCCAAAATGGGCAAGGCAATGGAGCACCCGTGGAGCTGAGGCGGGCCAAATGAAACCTGTGAGGGCACCTACCTGTCATGCTTTCCCCTTAATTATGCATAACTTTAAGCCTTAAATAATTTAAACCGATAGGTTATATAAAAATTCTATAGCTATAGAGACTAAAATAGTTTTTTGTACCAGGCTGTAAACGTGTTTATTTCTGCTGTAAAATTGGCCGTTTTAACATTGGGGGTCTATGGGATTGATTAGCTTTTGGAGCCAGCCTCAAGTGGCCAATTTGATGAACTGCAGTTTTTGGAACTTAACTGTGTTTGCTTCATTTTCCAGGTTGCCACTTGGTCGTAATCTCTCGTTACAGCAACCCAGACATGAAATCTATATCTCCCCACACTAACCATACTGATTATATGTCTGCTTGTGTGAAGGTTGGTAGATCTGGATCCAGAGATAGAGTCCAGAGTGGAGGGAGGAGACCAGGCTGCGCACACCTCAGGCAGAGACCATGGCGACCTCTCCCGGCTTCGTAGCTCTTCGCTGGAGATCAAAGAAAAAGAAATCAGAGAAAAGGGCTCTGAGATCCTCAGGGAACAGCTGGATGCTGCAAAGAGGGTGTTGTAACCTACTTTATGCTGACACACAAAGCATTCTGTGAACTGGGAAAAAAAAGAGTTGACAAAGCAAATGTCTTTCCTTGTTAAATGTGGTTGTGGCCTTTTCTCTTACACATCTCAGGAACTGAAACTAAAAGACAAGGAGTGCGAACGCCTGTCGCAGGTCAGGAATCAGCTGGAGCAAGAGTTAGAAGAGCTGACGGCCAGTCTGTTTGAGGTAAGCAATAATAAGCACTGCCCTCCACTGAGTGCGCTCATTTTGACACATGCCTTAGACACTGATGATGAGGGAAGTGACTTGATGCTCAATCAATCAATCAACATTTATTTATATAGCACTTTACAGCAACCAACAGGTGTCCAAAGTGCTTTACATCAACCAAGAATAAACAACACAGCATTCAATAAAAGACAAGAAAAAAACACGAAGCCTAGAAAATAGTAAGCCAGATAAGGTTACCTAAAAACATCAGAAGAAGAGGGAAGTTGTTGCACCACTACTGCGTATTGAAAGCCATTCTAAATAAATAAGTTTTAAGTTTTGATTTAAAATGAACAACGTCCCTTATAGTGTGAATGTCAGGGGGGAGCTTGTTCCAGAGTTTTGGGCAGCAAGAGCAAAGGCTCGATCGCCCCACTGTTTGTACCTCGACTTGGGGACTTCTAAAGCCCGTTGATCCGAAGACTGCAACAGACGATTTTGTTAAGTTAAAAGCTCGGACAAATACTCTGGGGCTAGGCCATTTAAAGCTTTGAAAACAAGCAATAAAATCTTGAAATCGATTTTAAAATGTGTGCACTTCTATATGTATTTGTTAAAAAGCGAGCAGCAGCACTTTGCACAGGTTGAAGACGCGAGGTGGATGTTTGACTTAGACCAACATAAAGAGCGTTGCAATAATCTAGTGTTGAACTAATAAAGGCATGGATAGCCTTTTCTAGATCGTGCTTATTAAGAAAAAGAAGCTCGTTCTGACAACATTGCTAATTTGCTCTTCAAATTTCATGCTGCAATCGAATGTCACACCCAAATTTTTGACAGTTTGCTTGGTGCATGAAGTCAAAACTCCCAGACTTAAAGCTGGATTGTTTGACATACATTTAGTACTGAAGATAATACACTCAGTTTTTTAATCTTCATTCAGATTAAGAAAGTTCCGAGAGAGCCACAACTTAATATCATTAATGACATTAAGCAGGCAGTTTAGTGCAACACTGTCATTAGGTTTCATAGGCAGATAGATTTGCAGGTCATCTGCATAACAATGAAATGACAGGTTGTGCTTGTCTATTATAGCCCCTAACAGCAACATATATAAAGAGAACAGGATGGGGCCAAGAATTGAACCCTGGGGCACCACGCAATAGAGAGGAGCAGATGATGAGGAGAATAGTCAATTGTCAAATAGGAGCTGAACCATTTAAGTGCGGAGCCTTGAATGCCTACAAAATGCTCAAGGCGGGCAAGAAGGACTGCATGGTCCACTGTATCAAAAGCTGCTGTGACGTGATCTAAAACCAGATTGAAATTTTTCACTGAGCTCTGTTGTAGAAAGACTTGTAACTGTTTAAAAACAACTTTTTCCAACACCTTTGAAAGAAAGGGCAGATGTGAGACTGGTCTAAAATTGGACAACACATTGGGGTCAAGATTAGGCTTTTTAAGTAGGGGCCTAACCACAGCATGTTTAAAAGCTTCTGGGACAGAGCCAGAACTGAGACAAGAGTTAAAAAAAAGTAAGTACTGTAGACTCGACCCAATGGTGCTAAAAACCTTCTTCACCATCCTATCGGGAAACCTACACAGTTGGTAGGTTTCATGTGGTGTACGACCTCAGTGAGCAGTGACAGAAAAACAGGCTTAAATTCCTCAAACACAGCAGAATGCACGGGATCAGCAGGTACAAACACACAAAAAATCAACACTGACGTTTTGCCTGACTGATGCTACTTTATCAATAAAATAACAGAGAAACTTCTCACGCATACTGGTTGAAACCTCTGTCAAAGCAGAGGCGCATGGATTTATAGTTCATGGCAGCTGTTGGCTATGGCAGATAAGAGAGAGTTCATCTTCGCCACCTTTACAGCCTTCTGATACTCTACAAGACTGTCCCTTAATAAACCCAAAGAAACTTGTAACTTGTCTTTCTTCCACCTTCGTTCAGGTTGTCTGCAGCGTTGCTTAAGGGCCCTTGTGTTGTTGTTTAGCCAGGGGTCCACTTTAGGTTTAATAGACTTAAACCGATGAGGGGCAATAGAGTCTAGGATTTCAGCACTTGTAGAATAGAATGCAGAGAGAATGTTATCTGGGGAAGATGGAGAAACCAGACCAATCTTGGCATAAAACTGAAAGCCCAAGAACATCAAAGTAAACTCTCCAGCTGAAGAGGAGGTGATACAGCGACGCGTAGAGGCTGAAGACACAGGTTTACTAGGAGGTGGTGGAACACTGATCTCAAATGCTGTGATGCACTACAAGACTGCATTGCAGTTAAAACCTTTACTGCACGTTTAACTCTGTAATATTTCATCTTTTTTGCTGTCGGGAAAAACTAGATATTTTGGGATAAGGGTTCACTAGACAAAACATTTAGGTCAATTTTTAATGACATAAAATTGAGGGGGGGGAAACTACTTTGGAGAAGCTAGAACCAGAAAACCATGAACAACAACTGACTTATTTTTACTTTCTTTTTTTTGTTGCAATTTGCATTGCATGAAAAATACAATTATAAAAGATACATGTACCCAAAGACATTTACATATACAAACACTCCTTTACCGATTATACTCAGGTATACATGGATGCAAAGTAAAAAAATAAAAGACTGACAATATGTAAGTTTGAATTCCACAAAACAGTGCCTCTTGAACCACATTACTGGAACATTAAGGATGATGAAGATGTTCAGACTGTCTGGTAGGAAGTGAATAAATGACTGAATTAGGGTGGCTGTGGCTCAGGAGGTTCAATCCCCAGCTCCCCCTGGTTGCGTGTCGAAGTGTCCTTGGGCAAGATACTGAACCCCGAATTGTTCTGCCAGTGTATGAATGTGTGTGAATGTTAGTTTCGGTTTAAGCACTTAGGCTCAGTGTGTGACTGTGAATGCAGATGTAGTGTAGAAGCGCTTTGAGTGGTCGAAAAGACTAGAAAGGCGCTATACAAATATGGAGCATTTACATTTAGTGAATTAGTTTGGAAAACAAATATGACTTCAATGATTAAATTATGCAAATTTTTACAGACTATAATTGCCAGTTAACTAAATGATTAATTAGCTCTATTTGGCACATAAACTCTGTTCTTGACAACCTTGTTTCCAGTTGTAGCAGTTCAGATCTGTGTTACCTGTATCAAACAGACAGGCATTGACTAGCTGGAGAATTTAGCAGCTTAAGAGCTGGATTTTTCCTGCAGTAATTTGCTGAGACTAATTAAACTGAGTGCTAATGTTGCTCCGTGTCTGCTGGATGTGTAAATGGGTAAACGCATTCACCATAACATCTTTGTGATATTGTTGATGTTGCGTTTCCTGCTTGCTTTGCTGCCCCAAGTGTCCATAAAGAATGTATTAATTGCTTTAACCTTAACAGATTTACCATTCACCATTAGTGAATAATCAAGAACAACTTTGGATCCCACAGTTTAGATTTTGACTCGGAGTGTTTTAACCGTGTGTTAATGTTTCAATCGTCATCCCAACAGGAAGCTCACAAGATGGTGCATGAAGCGAACGTTAAACAAGCAGCAGCGGAGAAACAACTGAAGGAGGCTCAGGGAAAGGTGTGTGAAGTTGTTTCTCTGTGTTTCTGTATTCCACTTAAAACTTTAGGTGATGCTGCTTAACCCTTTGTCCCATTAAAATTCATAGCACCGAGACTATTTTTGAATTGCACTTTTGATTTGTCTTTAAAATGGGCTGCTATTCTAGGTACTTTTTCAAAGATATATTTGAGGTCAACAACAAAAGGACATAAATAGCGTTTTGGCAAACTTATTGAATTTTCCCTTCCCACATATTCTGTACTTTTTCTGTGTCTGGCTCCAGATTGATGTTCTGCAGGCAGAGGTGACGGCGCTCAAGACTCTGGTGTTGACATCGACGCCTTCTTCACCAAACCGCCAGCTGCATCCACAGCTGCAGTGTTCAGGAACCAGGGGAGTGCACAAACACGTCGGGGGTCACACCCGCAACAAGAGCACGAGCGGCGCCTTTCCGTCCCCGCATGGAAAACAAGAACCTTCCTCAGTGTCCATCCAGCCTGTGGTGAAAGAGGACCAAGAGGTAACCTGCCTTGCTTCTCCTTAAATTATGTTTCTGCAACTGTGTGCATTTCTCTGTTTCTACCCTTCATTCCTGTTTCCAGTCACTCGCATCTTTTAGCTTCCTCTTCTCTCTCAGTACTAACCTCCCCCTGATGTGTTGTTCTTCCTCTCTGTTTGTGCCGTCTCTTCCGCTCTCAGCCTGCTGTTCCTGCTCTCCTCTCTCTGATACTCTGCCTGGTCCCTGGCCAGTCTGTCAGTGTGACCTTTGAACCTTACTGGCAGGAGCGGGGAGAGGGGCTAGGCGCTGACAGCAGACAGGTAACTGCATTCCTTCGACTAGGCCTGATAAGTCTTTCAGATTTAGCTGCTTTCAGAAACGTTCAGAGACGTTATTACTTTTCCTTTATAATTATGTTTACAGCAGGAGTCGGATGAAACACTTGTGCTGGTTGTGCTTTTTAAGCAGCTGAGCTATTAACAGCTGGGGCAGAGTCTTCTCTTTGCACTTGGTCCAGACTGAAATATCTATAATATATATAATAATAACAGCTATCGCAGAATCTATGAAATTTTGGGGGAGATATCAGATGGTGCAGATGGGGCCCAGCAGGGCTCTACAATGCAAACATTTTGCTTGCATATGCCCCTAAAAATCGATACGCGTGAACTGGAAAAATGATTTACGAGCTCAATGTGCGAGTAACTACAACCTACCATATTTAGCTATATCGGGTGCCTTTTGTTGAAACATGTTTTCATAAAATCGATGTACTCATCAATTTCACTTTTCGTGAACTAACCAATCACAGTCTGGATGGGGCGGGACATAAAAAAAGTTTGACATGCTACAGTAAACTTTCAAATGTTGAACTTATTCTGCATGAATGGTTCTGATTATTGAAGAGATAGTAGCATTAACACATTAACATACTAACAGTATTTAGTACTTTTTAGAACTTGAGAACTTTTTATCTAATATTATAATAATATAAATACTAATACACTCATTAAACTAATTTCTCCTCCATGTTGTGGAAAGGGCCTCTGCAGTGGAAAGATGCAGATTTCCACTGCAGATATATGCCAGTATGTGCTCCTAGCCTTCTCCTGAGAGCAACATGTTTCCCTTGTTCTGTTTTACTAAAGTTATTGTCATACTGTTCAGTAGTCTTTTTTTACATTAGGTGTGTCGTGTGTTGTGTGGGTGCTGCTGGTGTATCGTGAATCTGTCCCTGGTTCAAAAACCACACAAGCACCAATCCCAGTAAAGTTTTTTTGTGATGAGTGATCTGTGTTTTAAAAGCTGTTTTTTCAAAACATCTTTTTCAATATTTTAAAACGCTTTGACAAATTTGTAAGGCCGATGCTGTGTGTACAGATACAAGGGTCTTCACTTCCATAGTCCACTAATGGTTTCACACCATAGTTGAACACAGAGGAGTATAAATATGTATATAATAAATAGTTTGTTAAACTCTGTGTTACTTGAATATTTTTCACTGTGCTCCTAAAGCCCTGCCCAGAGAGTGAATCGTAGTGGTTTTGCTGACTTTTTCTCTAGCTCCACTTATTCCACTTATTCTGTGAAATATCTCTACATCTCCTACATGGTGTTGACATGACATGACATGACATGACATTTGGCGCAGACATTCATGTCCCCCTCAGGATGAATTGTAGAAACTTCGATCCCTTAATTTCTCCTCTTTAGCATCATTATTAGGGCAAAAAAATTCATTTGTCAAACACTTCTAACTGAACTAATGACATTCCCATCAGCTTGTTGCTTATAAGCATTCCAGCATGCTAGAAGAGTGAATGTGGTAAACGTTACATCAGGTTATGATTATCATCACTTAGCATGCTGAGCAACATTAAGCTTTAGCAAGTACAGCCTTGCAGAGCTGCTAGCATGACTGTAGCCTTGAATTCTTGTTCCACAACTGAACTTTTATCTTTTAAAGTAATGTTTTCTGATTTATTTCCTTAATGTCGATTATCGTTCAATACCGGAGATTTAATGATCATTTGGAAGGGTGCTGGGAGTTCCTCTTACAATCTGTTAAAGGTTGTTAAAATCCATCTCTCAAGCTAAGAACTAATAAAACTAATCTTTCCCTATCATTATTATAAAGGGGCTGTAACTGCATGTAACTGACACATTAGACAGGCATTTTAATAAATGAGTGGCTTGTTTTGTCTTTGTAGCTGGACAACGTTCTGTATGCAGAGTTTTTGATGTGGAGGGAAAACCCAAGTCTAGACCACTCCTCTGCCTTCCTGAGTCGCATCTACAGAGAAGACATTGGACCCTGCCTCTCCTTCACGAGATCTGAGGTCAGAATCTTACTGCTTACTGGTCAACCCCACCCCACTGCATTTGTTAAATTACAGTGTTTAAAGTTATGTTATTGATTCTTCTTCTCCACAGCTGTCGCAGATGGTGCAGAGTGCAGTGGAAAACAACTCTCTGACTATCGAGCCGGTGGCCATGTCAGCATTACCGATGGTTAAAGCTTCAGCTATAGAGTGTGGAGGCCCTAAGTGAGTTATCACGTCCGCATATCAACTATCAGTCCTGTCCTCTCTTTCACCATTCACTGTTTAACCACAGCTAAGTCAACACCAAAAATCCACTCTTTGATTTTGAAGTCTTCCCTGATGATTAATGGTCATAGCTGATGGTTTTTCAGTCTTACCACGTATCTGAGAGGGGTTTAATCATTGGGCGCATTTCTAATCACTGTCTGATTTTAAAATCTTTTTTTTCCAGTGGCTTTAGGGCAGCAATAGAGACGTAAGTCCTCTCAGGAACCAATCGTTCATGCTTTCACTAACACAAATTACTGTAGCATGAAATGAAGTCTGCCTATCGAGTAAAACAAATCTGTAAATTCAGATGGGGTTTTGCATGCGTCTGCGTGTATATTAATGAAACCTTGAACCTTTTCCTCTTCCAGTGACTAACTAATTTCTCTCTCGTGCACTATTATGTTGTGTGTTCTTTCTTGTGTAGTCTTTATTCAAAGCTAGGTCTCCTTGATTTTAATACCTGATGGGGTATAACTCTTGTTCAGTGTCTTGCTGTGATAAAAAAACAATAGTGTCTGTCCACGTCTTGTAGCTGTAGTTGTCTGACAGCTGAGCTTTCTCTGTAGAAAATGTGCATTAAGCGGCATGTCGCGCCTCTGCCGACATCGTATTAAACTTGGCGACAAGGGGAGCTACTATTACATCTCTCCTTCCAGCCGAGCACGGGTAACTATCACTTCATATCTGTAACGTTAATTAGATACACTGCTGTTACTACTGTTAAATGTTGCTACATGTGACCTTGTTCTTACTTTGCCTTTCTAGATCACGGCTGTTTGCAATTTTTTTACTTATATCCGCTACATCCAGCAGGGCCTGGTAAGACACAATGGTAAGTTAACGCCAACATGTTGAAATATTATGTAATTTTTCTTTGTTTTGCTTCCTTTGCGTCTTGTTTTGCCACCAAGGGTTTAATACAGGAACTGACATGTATGCTTTGTTGTTATCGGTTTGCCCTCTCCCAGCGGAGCAGATGTTCTGGGAGGTGATGCGCCTACGCAGAGAGATGACTGTGGCCAAGTTAGGTTTCTATCAAACTGACCAGGGCTAGAAGACCAGACCGTCCACTGAAACATCCGGCAGGAGAGCATGATCCCAGGACTTTGCTTATTCAAGATTCTAGTCAGGATCAAACTGTGGTAACAAACAGGTCTTGAAACAGTAGAAAATGTGCCACTATTATGCAATAAGACAAAGAATTAAACCAGCACAGCTAGAAAGACGTACAAATAAGTTTATTTTTCAGTAATTCTCTCCACTGGCAAGGAGTACTGTTTCTGAACCTCCCTGGTGGAGTACACACAACTTCTCCATATAAATACAATAGATTCTATGCATTATGTTTCAGTTGTTAAGTCTGTTGAAAAGATGAGCACAAAGCATGAAAGCAGTCTAGAGAGTTTAGTTGGGCTCTTACCTCAAGTGTTACATGCTTATATAACTATGTGATGTAATAGTTCTATTGTGAGATTGACAATATCCATAGTTTTCACAATTATTTGGATTTTTGTCTTTATTTTTATAAAAGTACAATGCTCACTAGCATCTCGCAGTTACTTTCTGTTATCAGCTCAAACACCAAGACTTTTTGCCTCAGCATGGCCTTAATTTTTTGTGATACACTTGGTCGCACTACCTGTTCTAGATGCCTTGTATGAAAACACAAACAGAAGCAGACTCTTGAAAGAAACAGCTTCATGTTAGCCTAGCCTGTACTGAAAAATCAGATATACTGATAATGAATTACCGTAGTTATGACACCTCCACATGCAAAACTGTTGTACAATAGTGAGAAAATGAATAAGCTTTAATACAAGTGATTGCAATACGCACAGCTGTCTGCAATGAACAGCATGTACATAAAGTAAAAGCCATAAATGACTTTGCATGAATGCAGTATATAGCCATATTATGCAGTGTATACTGGTTGTACCTCAAATTATAGAATTATTATTAATAATGGACACTTTCCACAGAAAAAACGCTTGAAGGTAAAAATGAAGAATATTGTGTCAGAAAGTGCAATAACTGCTTCTTAGCCTTCTTTAGGGCTTGGTGGTTCCGAACCTCAGTGTACTGATAATTAACTGTCTTCCGGTGTAAACACTCCATTAAAGACTACATCACCTTTTGTACTGTATGTGATTTTAACGTCTAGTTTGAACTAAATCTGATAAATCAATCAGCTAGTTCGACTTTGATGTCAGTTCTTTGTGGCCTTTTGTAAAGTTTAGACTCAAGTTTGGGAACGATGACTCATCACTGTAATTCAGTCCATACAACAAGATGACACAGAGACCTAGTTTTCTCAGGGCGGCACTGATTTGGGTTTAGATTAAGGTCATCACCAGGAACTGTTTATCCCAATACAAAACGCGAACAAACACACACACAGTTGCCTAACAGGTTTGTAAGCAGGAATCAGGCCGCTCAGAGGGGCTTTTTGGTATGAAAATCTGTTTGTGGATCGTTCATTCCAGAAAGATTTTAGTTTCCGGATTAAAAGGACTTTTGTAAGCTTGTTATTCTGTTTTCATGGCCTCATCGTACAGATTAACCACATTTAAAAATAAACCCTAATAAACAGTTTGACTTGGGTGTTGTTAACAAATGAGCAGTGACATAATGTGTAGTCGAGAAAAACATGCGACCATATGAGCGGATCAACAACAGAGATACTTATTAATGTAAAATATTGATTTTACTTAGTGGGATATTTTTATTATAAATTAATAGGAAATCCGTAAACAAAAATACAAAATATTCTACTACTATAGACAGTTAAAACGGGTCCAAAAATCCACATAAATATTTGAAGTTGCAAATATACTGAAGACATTTTCATATAACACTGGAGGAACACAACAATTTTTAACTTCTCCCTTGGCAACATCCAGCATTGACCAACTCTTCTTTCTTGGGGAAATATCTGCAAAAGACACATTGAGTTATTCATATTTCACCTTAACGCTACTGTTGTGCTTATGTTTCAGGGATGAACAAACAATTTTATAGAACATTGCTTTTACTTTTAAATCTACTGAATATGTAAGGTTTTAGTAATTGTAACGTCTGTGTTGTTATGGTCTTAATTTGGGCTGACTATGTACATTAAATTGATTTCTACCTTCAGTGACTCACCTTCGATAACAGAACATGATCAGCAGCAGCACGGCGACACTACTGATCACTACCATCACTGCAGTGACAACAGAAATGGCAGACAGCGAGGAGGGCTCTGGATCAGATAAAGGAATGTTCAGGATCACAAGTGAAAGATGCTTTTATGATTGTGCTTGTTTAAATATGTCTCAATTTATTTCTTCACAAGACAAGAACCAACCTGAGCAAATAAAGGATCCTGGTACGTTGAGGCACTCCAGGTTTTGTGGGCAGACAGACATTAGTTCTTCACATTCATTAATATCTGCAACAATCAGTCAAAAACACCAGAAGTTAACGAGACATGCATTTTATATCTAATGGGACTCAAGTGTTGTCTAAACCAACATTTGTTCACAAGCTGAGAAAAAGACAGTAAGACTTTAGGCAATAGTTGACAAAGCAAGTTAACCACACGCTTTAGTACCTGTTCTGGAGCTTTTGATTGTATCACTTGATCTTCCTCAGCAAATGGGAGTTTCCCCAGGTGTCATGGAAATGTAGATGTTCAAAAAAAATTTTGTTTTGAGGACTTTCAGGCCAGTGTAGACGAGAAACCCATAAAGATATAATTAAACTATAATAATTTCTTTACAACTGGGAATTTTTATCTGCTGAGATCATGTGATACAATCGAAAGCTCCAGAACAGCTACTAAATGGACCTACCTGGGAGGTTGTTTTGCTGATTACAGTTTACAAAGAATGAACTGAAGAGTTTTAGCTCTGAATATCGACATCACATCATAAGAACATGAGTATTGTTAAATGTGACATAAACCATATTATGATGCACCGGTCTTCAGAAACCCCATAATATCTGTTCCAGTCACGTCACCAAGGCAAGACAAGTTTATTTGTAGAGCACATTTCAACAACAAGGTAATTCAAAGTACTTTACAAAAAACATAAAAGCAACAGGGAAATATAAAACGTTTTCAAAGAATTAAATAGAAAATAAAGGCAGGCAGGTTTCTCACCTTTGCCTGTTTTACTCCTTTGATTCCCTATCTCCCACTCTATCCTTTTTTTTAACACTTAGGACTCTGGTAAAAGCAGTTGACTGCAGGCCCTGTCAACAAGTTAACAGCGGAGAAAACCGGGACTCTAAACCTTGTAATTCTACTTGGCCCTGTTAACTGAGGATCAGCCGTGTGAGATCGTAAAATCAAAAGAGCACTCTAGGCTTTTTAAATAGTGTTAACTGAAAATCTAAAAACAGAATAAGAAAACAGGACAGTTAAAGTTACAGTGCAGTGAAAGTTATCAATCTACAGCTTTAAATCTGATTTCATTACAAGGCAGTAGTAAAAAGAAAAGTCTTCAATCTTGATTTAAAGGAACTGAGACTTTCAGCAGACCTGCAGTTTTCTGGGAGTTTGTTCCAGATATATGGAGCATAAAAACTGAACGCTGCTTCATGTTTAGTTTTGACTCTGGGGACAGAAAGCAGACCTGTCCCAGACGACCTGAGAGGTCTGGATGGTTTCTAACGAAGCAGAAGATCAGAAATGTATTTTGGCCCTAAACCAAGGCCCTGGTTTAGTCTTCGCACCTTCACATGTTGGAGGTGTGGGGCTCCACTTCTGGCTGTTTGGATCACAGCTGACAGACGAAGATCCCAGCAGCTTGAAGCCAGTGTGACACTGATACAGAATCACAGAGTCACAGAGCAGCGAGTAGCCGGATTGAATCCTGGGTATCAGACCACAGCTGGGATCTGGAAGAGAGGTCAGGAAGGGAGATGGGAAAACACAACAGACAAATGTGATGCCACACTCAACGTGTCTTCTTTTCTCCTTCCTCACCTGCGTCTGGTTCTTTCCACGGAGTGAGGTCGAGGTGGGAGATGAGCGGGTGTGAACAGGCCAGCATGTCCTCTGGCCTCTCGGTGCGCGAGAATGGGTCAGCAGGGACGTGAGTGATGCGGCTGTTGTCACAAATGATGCGGGACAGAGAGACGGCGTGGAGGCTTTGCCTCTGGGTGCTGGTGAACACGCCTTCCCGCTCCCACCAAAACCTTGGGAGATGAAATAAGATTTAGATTTCTCTTCTTGCTTCATAATTAGTCATGATTTTAAACCAGCGGGCACACAGAGGATTTAGTTTCACCTGTCCCCATCTCTCAGCGCTCTGAACTGTCTCGCCAGCAGGCAGGACAGAAGTGGTCCGACTCGACCTCCAGGCAGAGCGGGCTCAGAGATGCCGCCCACCCACACATCGATGTTGTGTGGTGTCCCGTACAGCAGCTGGAGTTTGTGAGCCAAAGTGAAGTTACTCAGAATTTCAGCCAGTTCTGATGTAGTGTTGGGAACAGAGAGCCTGCAGAGCCTCCTCCACGAGCTGTATCCTGATGGGATGAGACAGGACAGGAAGTGACTGTCTACTGCTACACTGAGTTTGGTGACTTCACGTAATTCCCAGCAGAACTCGGCACAGCTTCAACCTGAGCACAGGTCTAATAATAACTGATTAATAACTTTCCTGTTTTCTTAACTAAAAACATCTCTGCGGGAGTGCAGGTCATTTAATATGTGTAGCTTTTGTTTAGGCCATCATCTGTTAACTAATTAATCGCATGAAAATATACAGTATTTTATATTGTATGTATTATGTACACCTGTACTGCTTAAATTGTGTTTTTCATACTGTTTTTAATATTATGATCCGCATTTTATATTAGTCTAATTAACTGGGTCTACAACATTTAGATGTGAAACAAGCTAAAAATGTCATTGTGCCACTGCACATATGATAGTAAATAACTTGATTTCTTGATTTTGATTGACATGCCAACTTTTTTTTGAGTGAATCCCTGAATTATGTTTTTTTTTAGGACACATTTCTGTCCGACTCATTTCTAGTCTACCGTTGACTCTAAACCAGTTAACTGCCAACATCTTTTGTCTCAACTGACAAGCAGTGTTTATTCAGATAACTAGTACCAGACTAGCTGGCCTCTGGAGTGCTAAAGAACACATTCCTACATCTGGAACAGTTCATGAATCAAGAGACTTTTTACATCACACAAAAACACAGGCGTAACAGACACCATTAATGCTTATTCTTGGTACTGCGCATGTTGACTTACTATGTCCCATTTCATGCTAATTGTATACAGTCATGCAGACTAAACTCATTTTCAAAGTATCCCATTTTGCAGCTTGCTCACAAACAAATAATGTCACTGTACCATTTAATACTAAGAGTCAATCAAAAGACTTTCCAAAGATAAAGTAAAATGACGGTTCTTTTTCTTTACTATATTTTTCTGTTACTCACTCACTTCCACCTGCACGTTATTTTAAGTTTTTGCAGCTGTGAGAAAGCTCCTCCATGTCCTTTGTGTATCACATGGTGGAACAATAATGTGCATCAACAGCACACAGCAAGAAGATTCAGGATCCATACTGACTTTTTGAGTCTCACACGTGAACACACCACAGACTGAACCTGCTTAGAAGTCAAGTGTAGTTTGGAATTTCAACAACAACTTCTAGCACTGGTTTACTGACATATTTCAATGTAATGGAGCAGTCACTGTTTAGGTACATCTGTGCTTTTTCGTCGTTCGACAGGTCAAAATATCTGCTGTGTAAAAGGCCAAATTATTTTCTGTCCTATAACCTTTATTTTACAGAGTTTGTTCTCTTACACTGTTAAAGTTAAATTGACCCTTAAACCTGTTGTCAAGTTGTATGCACCAGACTCGTGTATGTTAAGTGCTAAAATGTAATTTTATTTAACAGTAATCTGAACAACAGTACTTATAAGTTAACACACAGGACGATGATAAAATAAATACTGTTAAACCAACAGTGATAGTAATAGAATAGAAGTAATAAAGCAGGTACCAGGCAGGCCGTGATCTCGGCCCCTCTGGAGGTTAAGAGCCCCGAGGTCCAGAGGCATCCCTCCCTGTGCCTGAAACAGCCTCTCTGTCAGCTCCTCCACCATCATCTGACCTGGAGTCTGCAGCTTGGCTGGAGACAGCAACAGACCGCGCAGCACAGGGTCTATACCACCTGAGACAGAAACAGAAAACACACGTAAATCGCAAGCCAGTTGAGTTTAATGCATGACAGCACCGTTCTTTACCTTCTTCTACAACCCTCCAAGAGGCAAACAATGAATGATGCAGAGGCAGCGGGGGATGCTGGGAGTTAGTGGTGTATCCTGGCCCTAGCCTGGACACCACTGGCTGTACGGTGACGTGGGCAAAACGAAACGCAGCGGCTGCAAAGACGTTAGCGATGCTCGGATCCACCTCAGGATCATAACCTTCGTAAGGAGGCATCAGACGAGACATGGCGCTCTCACCGAGGACCCGCGGCAGGTAGTGCTCCCACGTCAGGATCTGGAAAGACAAAGGAAGCAGGTCTGAGTGCCGGGAACGCTCAGTGAGATAGAGGTGAATGGATGTCCAGCTGAAGCTGCTAATGATACCTGATGAATGGCTCCCACGATCTTGCGGGCCTCCTGATAAAGAGTATCAGGGCTCCAGTGGTGGTTGAGCAGGTGCAGCTCTTTGACCAGCCGGTTGTGCTCTCTCAGGAAGACTGTGTGCAGTGCAATCATTCCCAGATGCTCATTAGCTCTTGAATCACCTGTGAAATAATAACCATGAGCAACAGCTCCGCTGAAGCCTGCATAGAACGGATGACTCGCTACATTTGCTCGCTCACCAGCTTGAAAGCAGGATGTGGTGTTCTCCTGGCGTGTGGATCTGCCCGATGCCACTGAGGCAGTGGAGTTTCGAGGGCCGCAGGGGTCCAGGTGAGCCTGCAGGCGTGGCAAGAAGGGCATGTAGGCCAGCTCCTGGTCTGAGCGCTGGGAGTTGAGGGCCATTGAGCCCATAGGAGAGGAGTGGTTTCTCAGAGCCGAGCCGAGACTGGGGGAGCTGCCGTACACCATACTGGCGTCTACAAAGGAGGTGATGGCGTTGAGCTGCTCTCGATGGCGATGAGACAGTACTCCAGCAACACAGCTGGGAGCAGAGCGGAAGAAAGGCATGCAACTCTGGACGCCATTACGAGGATCTGACAGAGGGATCTGGGGAGAAAGGTTTCATTTTTTCATAGTTAATGATGAGGGGAAAACATGTTAATATAGTAAAATAAGACACTTTGTTGTATAAATAATTAATAGCTTGTCATTTACAACACTATACATTCAAATGCACCTTCATCTATGAATGGCATGTATGGAATATTAATACAATTCATATATTTATTTTACTATGTATATCAAGCATCTTTGGCACAAACATGTCTTTCAAGATAAATAAAGTTCTACATAACAAAAGCCCAAAACAAACCCCTTGTTAAGTTGGTGATCAAAGTAACTTTATTTACAGGTTTAAGAGTGTGGGATAATAATGTCCACTTTCTTTGGAAAATTTCACCTATAATCCATAAGAAAGAAAGAACACACTCATTGTAGTATCCAAATCAGTTTCCTCTATGCCTACTGCAGATACTAAGTTTTTATTTGTGAATCTAAGCATAACTTTACTTCTTTAGACCTCTAAAAAGGACACAAAGTTCACCCTTTGCATTAACTGGTTATAGGCCACAGACAATATGTGTCCCTGGGTCACAAGATGAAATGTTTGAGAAGCACTGTCTTTTTACCAACAGGCAGGGAATGATAAAGTTTGCATAGAATGTCCATTGCATTAGTTAACTGTATGTTGTAGGTTTTATATTTGTACTTTATATTAAATTTAAAATAAAAAACAGAGGTGTAGCCTTTACATAGTACATAGAATGACGGAGGACTACTTACGGAGGGATGGAAATGGACAGAACACAGAAGTACACTGAGAAGCAGCTGGCAGTTAGTAAAGTGCACCTGTATGGGGAAGCAGGGAGTGTCCCGGCTGCAGGTGTGTGTGCAGTCAGCTCCTGTCCTGAAGGCGGCTGTGCTGGGGCTCTGAGGCGTCAGCACCACGTCGTGGTCTATCCACTGACCCCACTCCACCAACAGGTGGGACAGAGTGGAGTCCAGAGAGATGTTGTCATTGTGAGTGAACAGCACTTCCTGAGACACCAGCCGCACCTGGACAAACAAAGTGAGGAGTGTTGGCGTAACAGCAGCTGACAGGACAGAGGAGGACTGAGTGCAGCTGCACGACTCTTACTGGAGGCAGAGTGGCGTTATGGTAGGTGTGCTCTGGGTCCCAGCCTCTGGGCATCCCCCACACATCCTCATACTCTGGAGGCAGCCAGCGGGAATACGGGATGTTTGCAGCGCCCCATCTGGGATGCTGCCTACACAGGACATGAATGAATAGACACACTATTCCAAATCTATTCAAGGCAGCACTGCTCTGTTCTCACAAACCTGTTGTTGCACTCTCCTGTGAGGGATCTGTAGCGCTCAGACAGACAGTCAGAGTCACAGCTGGGTTGCTGCAGCTCAGCGGAGCAGCCTGTCACCTGCAACAGGTTCTCCACGTCTCGTTCGTTTCAGCAGCTCTTTGGGAACATACGGTAAACATAAAGTTATACAAATATTAACTTGCATTTTTGGAAAAAACAAACAAACAGCTTTTTGGAGCCTTATGTCAGAGCTGCTGACATTTTGTGACATTTGTCTTATTGGGCTTGCTTCTGGGACCTCCCAGTGGGCTCTGTGGGTCTCTACACCCCCTGAATAGTTTAGTTTTCTGACACAGAGTGTGAAATACACTAAGTACATCAAAAAAATAACTACAACGTAATCCTCAATAAAGACAAAGAAATTGGGCTCAAAGAGGACCAAATAATGAAGAATTAACATCTATTCTATTTGACTTTGTTTGTGGCTCTTTGTGGCTGGATACTGAGAAAAAAGTGATTCTGTGATGTTAAAGGGATCCTTTTAAGCCCAGAACTGCAGAAAAGTTTAACATAAGGATAGCTTGGCATGTAAGATAAGTACTAGATTAGTTGAATACTTGGAATTAGTTAAAAAACACAAATTATTTGACAAACAGGTGCAGAAACATCTACATGTGTTGTTACGCTGCTGATCAATACCATGAGAGTCAGGCTGCACCATATTGTGAGTGTAGACCATCTCCCTGATCAGCTCCACTGTGTTGTCCAGCAGTTCTGCAGCCCGGATCTGAGTCCTGGTTCTGGCTTCAGTCTGTTTAAACTGAGCCAGCAGGTCACTGGGTTTCAGGGCGCCTTCAGACAGAGACTTCTTCACCCTGGAAGCAGTAATAGCTTTGAGTGCCAACACAATGCCTTATAGAGGTTAAATTATTATTTTTGCTTTTCAGTGGGTCAGCTCAGTCTGAAATATTTCACAGGGTCCTGTGATTTATCATTATTTTTTTTTACCTCTCACTTGTGCGGGCGTAAGCAGCATCAGTTAGCTCCATCGCCCTCTGAAGAGCCTCCTTCACAAACACAGATCCTGGATACACACTTCCTGAAATTACCACAAAGGAGAACTTAAATGTAGTTAGAAATGCTCCTCAGTACCTGGTCTCATCAGTAATAAATCACCCAGGAATCCTACCGGAGGTGTTGTCAAATACTCTGTTCAGTGAAGCGTGCTCAGGGAAGGAGAGCAGGGCAAGAGCCAGTCCAAGCAGAGAGACGGACACCTGAAACCAGAACATGAGTATCTCAAAGAAACTTAACTTTATTTTATTAGTTAAAAATAAACAAGAAGGAAAACTCACCATAAGTCCCGTGTCCATCTAGAACGTTAAAACGCTTCAATCCGTGCAGAAAGGACTTACTTCAGGTTTAGAAAACCAATCACGCTCATAGTATACCGCTGTGCTGACCGTGACTCATCTTGAGAGCCAACTGGTGTGTGTGTGTGTGTGTCTCAGTGTGTGTTCGTCTCAGAGCGTCCAGGTTGCCATTTATACACTGGCAGCAGGGCCAACAGGTATGTGCAGAATTCCCTTATCTGTCCTCCTGGTGACAGGAACGCAACATCAAACACTGGACTCACTGCCTCGACCTAATAACATTTCAAATCAAATTTACTTCTGTCCTCTCTGCCATGATGAAAACCCTCTGTCATATGTGAATCGTTTCAATGAAACAATTCCACCCATCCCCCGAGAGAAAACAGAGAATGAATATCTTTGTAGCAGTGGATGAATACATGCAGCTGGAAAATGTAATGTCCATGACACTTGAGTAGCAGATTTAAAAGACAGGCTAATTTATTAGCATCCTAATGGGATTTCACGACTAGTACAGTTAATTTTCTTGTGCAACATTTTCATTACCAGTGTCTTCAATCTGATCGTCTCTGTGCCAGTGACACAGACAGGTGAAGATTCTGGGAAATGATAAAGAACCAGGGATGAAAAGAACAACGATCAGACAGAAAGGGCTCAGTTAAAATCACTTTAGAGGATGTAACTCAAAGTCTGGCTGCCCGCTTCTCCCCTTTGATGATCCAGGTGTGTGATACCATCAAATGAGTCATCATTTCATTATGATGTTATTAATGTTATCTCTGTTCTCCCATATTACCCATCATCTACTGTGTGTGCTGTTGAGTTTCAAGATCTGAAATGTAGAAATCTTTTGTTCTCAAAAATGTCCAGTTGAAGAAAATACAGGCAAATACTTGACTTGCAGGTAGATAATGGGTCAGTTCACAGGCCTTTCCCCACTTAGACATATGTTTTCTTTAAGGTGGTTGTTTTGGTTTAACTTTTAATTAAACTCAACATAAACCAAAGATATCCACATGGCTGTATACTAGAAATGAGTTGGATTTTGTTTTGTAATTTTCATAAAATGCCCATTTGAAGTAAACAAAAAAAAAAACACTGAAACTTAAAAATATTAAATAAACAAAAGCATATACTTATTTATCTACAGGTTGGATTAGATTCACTCTTATGCTTGTCTTCTGCTCTTTATGTGGACTTTTGCGTACATGGAATAATACACATTCACCAGGTTTGACTATTGTCATGCTGAATGTTTTAAAAACAAAAGGCGACCAATAAACAACAACAATAACAATACAGACGACCTTTATTTACATATTATTACCTGGTTAGAACATTTCACAGTAATTACTGACAGAAAATTTTTTGTCATACATGATGATTACCTGTACATGCATTCAACCTTATTCATTAACATAAACAGTAATGTGATGATACCCTGTACGTCTGGATATTGCTCAAATTGACAAGTAAATGGATAGAAGAGGATAATACTGGAAAGATCTGTGTACATGTTAACAAGATAGTACTGTTTTCACTAAGAGGATAAGTACCTTCATTTAAACAGGAAAGCTTTGACAAAGTGCATAAATTAAGTCGCTTCTCCAACAGCAGTTATTGGGAGACTTACATACAGTGTTAGTTATCTTGTTTGGCGTGAAGAGGCTCCTGACCGTCTGAAGTTAGGCATGCTGGGACCACAGGAAGCGATCGCAGCGCTCTAGCATCGTCTGGATCATCGCTCTGAAACACAAAACAAAAGAATTTATATATATATATATATATATATAATAATAAAATAATACAATGTAATAAGTCCATTCAAATAACACTGATTCTCTTTGGTTGTAGTGGTCCCTTTTCTGACTATGAAAAGCAGTTCCTTTACTGACATTTCAGACTTCATTTACAAATTTTGGTTCAATATTTACTTATTAAAAAGGGATTTTAGGACCACTAACATAACTATCACACACTCCAAACAACAAAGACCTCTCCAATATTTTAGTCTGCTCTCTTTGGAAAGCAAATTTAATTAAGTTGATGGATCAAAATGGCATTACAAGCCTTCAAAAGATAACTAAAATCCCATCACATCAGAAAATTTGTTTTATGTTTGGTTAAATTTTTATTGTTGTCGACAACTAAAAACATATTTGAAAACAGTACTGGAACTCTTTCCCACCTCTGCCTCTTCTCAGCGACCCTCAGCAGCTCACAGACCAGTTTGGAGTGCGGCGAAAGAACCAGCTGCACCCCGCACTCCTCCAGAACGGCCAAGGCGCGGTCGGGCCCGGCTGTGCGAGCCAGCATCAGGGTCAAGTTCTCCGGGCTGATCTTTCCACCGTAGTCTGCTGACCCGTTGGACCAGCTGCTTCCGTTCACACCTGTGACCTGCTCTGAGTTTACCACGCTGCTGCACTGCTGAGATATCTGGATCAAGAGCTTCCACTCTTCCAAGTTTTGGGGCTCAACACCTGGAAAATAACAGACATTAAACTATGAAATAGCTTTTAGGATTTAACTCATTTGGGTGGTTGTCAGAAGAGCTACTCTGATGAGAGCAGACTGTGTCATTAATGATTTATGACTACAGGCTGACCGACCTTGGTTTGGGACCACGTGGAGCACCCAACTATAAGTGAAAGTTTTTTTGGGGGGGTTTTTGTATAACTTTAAAAAACACTTTACAGGTTATAAAGTGCTGTCTATTTTAAGGTTCTGTCTACATAAACATTGACAAAATGTTAATCAGCTGTACTGTTTGCAGTTGCTGACATGTTTTTATTTCTCAATAATGACAAGATAAAGAAGGAAAGTTAAACTAAAGCTGTGTTTCTACTTCTGGAGTTTGATCTTTTGGTGCTGAAGGTCACGCTGACCCTGTCTGTATGTTCCTTCCTAAATGAGACATGTAAAGTACCAAATGTCCAAGTTTATCACCAGGAAGTTGCTATCAAATAGCCAACCAAGTATAAATTCCATTTTTAAACTGGGGTAAGTGCCATGTTATAATATTATCAACAGGACACTACATATTATATTGGCATTTGTACTGTTACACTGTTCTAAAAACTCCCCTCAGTCCAAATTATTCCCCTGGAAAGTGAATCCACTTGTGTGTGTTCATCTTTGTTCGTCTATTTTGGCTCTACCTTGTAACTTATGTTGAGACGAGGTTACTGTGGATAGTTTAGATAAACATGCTACGCTACTAATGTATAGTATGTGCATGGGATTTCCATGCAGAAGACATGTGGTTTTAACCCCTGACACCCATCACTTTTAGATTATATAATGTCAAATTATAATTCTGCTTGCGCATGAAAGTGTCCAAGGAAAACATTTTCTTTTTAGTTGCAGTTAGTTTTACCCTCAGGTTCCTCCAGTAGACTGATGTCATCCAGCTGACAGATGGTGGAGAACGCTTCTGTGCGACGCTGCAGCTCACGGCAGAGGTACAGGTAGCCCGTCCAGTATCTAAAGTTGCATATGATAATGCAAACTCACTACCAAACATCAACAGCAAAACAAACAAAAAGACAGTTGACCTAAAGAAAATTAGAAGTACCCATGTCTGCGGCAAGTCTCTGTCATCTTCTGCTTGGAAGACAGGTCTGCAGGAAGGCCAATCAGGAGAGACAGGAAGCGTCCGTAACCCCAACTGAAACAATGAGAATGCCACCTGCAGCAGGATTTACAAGAATTCACAGTTATAATTATTCTTATACTTGACTTTCACTACTGGATTCTATTTAGGCCACGGTAATGTAAAATAGTCAAATGAATGTACCCAGGACGGTAGCGTAGATAACATCCACCTAGGTATAGCGTTGTTATTCTTTAAAATTTGTTGTTGTTTTCTAGCCTCATACTAAAACATACATTAATAAAAAGGAACATAACTTTAGATTTTTTTCACACACTAACAGAACCACACCTGGGCTGTCCATCAGGGGTCAGAGTATCACAGTGTTGAGGGGCATCATGGGTAAGTGCCAGCTCCAGCCAATCCTGTCTCAGGGATTCTGGTTCAAGCAGAGACTGCAAAAAGGACGACCTAAGGGAAAAAATGAGTGTAAAATTCAGCAACAAGAGGACTTTAATATCTTTTGTGCCTTTGACAAAAAGATGAAACTGAAGAAATACCTGTGCTCCTCAGTTTGTGATTGGACCAGATTATCCAGGTATGCCAGGAAGTGGCTTTGCTGAGCCATGATCATTACGTCAGCAGGAGTTATAGTAGGATAGAACTGGGTAAACGAGCGTACAGCCGCCTCCCCATGCTTTTCATACAGCCTAGATAATAGCACAGGGAAATTATTTTACAAGCTTCATCACAACTGTAAATAAATATATATAAATATGTGCTGACTGAAGAAATATGTGTACTGACCTGTGTAAGTGAGCGAGGAGAGGAGGAGCACTCCAGGGCTGCAGCTCTCTCAGACTGCGCAGTGATCTCAGCAAATCTCCTCTCTGAATAACCTCCACCACCTTACTGGACTGAGTGAGATCTGCAGAGAAACAAAAGAAGTTGATTTTTTATTTTTTTTAATAAGATTAAACTATTAGAGTATCAGAGCAGTGTGGAGTTACTACATGAGGTCTGAAAAGAGGGATTGGATCGCGGAGGTGGATTATAAATTGTAGATATAAATTAATACAGTTTGTTGCCCATAAGCTCCAATACCACATAACTAAATGAGGACAATCAGGATCAACATTATGTGACAGATTTTTAAATGTTAATTAAATTAGTACAGAGGTTACTTTCTAATTTTTTTTTGTTCTATGTGATTATTGGTTAAAAGTCTTCTAAGGTAAGAGACTGAACCAGATCTGCACTTAGCAATAATTGGTTATTATGACAAGCTTTTCATACAGCCACCAACAAGTATTAATGTTTGACATGGTTGGAGCAAAAAAACAAAATAAACAACCAAAAAAACCCCAACAACTTCTAATTGGAAAATAATCTGATCCTCTATGTTTTAAAAAATGATAAAATGATGACTGAATGGTTTTTATGGTTCGAATGTAACAACTGCACTGATCTCACTCTAAAACAGTGTTTTGGACTTTTAAAGACTTGACTGCTACTGTGGGATGTGATCCAATTTAGAAATATCTATACAAATTCACTTTAAGCATCATATTATCAACGCTCTTATTTCCTGTTTGTCTGTGTTTTCCTTTTTTTCCCTGTATGTGTACGATTTAAAGCTTCTGACCTTGCATGGCCTCAGTGAAGGAACTCTGCAGCTCCGGCTGCTCCTGATAACGCAGCAGACACATTCTTCTCACACGCTCTTGGTCCAGCAGAAAGAAGTAGCGGCGCAGGAAAGTTGTGCACCCCAATGCTTGTTCATTCTCCTGGTTTCTAAAGCAGCTCAGCTCAGAGTACAGCGTCGCCAGCTGGGTGAGATCAGCCAGGAGGTCCAATGGTACAGGTCTGGGCGACGCCACTCTAACAGGCTCAGGAGGCTCCTTCTCAGTGGAGTCACAACAGTCATCTTTGTCTCCGAGCTCAGGAGACTCTTCTTTCTTCTCCTCTGAAGTGGTCTCTGTTAATTCTCCTGGTAAGCAGGTAGCTTCCTTTTGTTTCTCTAAGTAGGAGTTTAGATAATCCCGCTCCCACCTCTCCTCTCCTTGTCCATCCATGGTTGAATCATCCCCAGCAGTGGACCCCTGCGCTACAGGTCCGAGTATTCGCTCCAGCACCAGCAACCACTCAAGCAGAGTGTCTCCCAGGTAGACTGGATCCAGTAGCACCAAAGGATCTTGGATGTGGGTGCTGATGTTGGGAAAAATGTAACATTTAGTTTCTACAATTAAAACTTGGTAAAAATAAGTGAAATCCTGGTCGGCATTCTAACAAAGTGTAGTACTCACATAGCACGCTCTGTTGCTGATCGAAGTTCTTGCACGTCGGCCTCTGTGTTAGGCATTTCGTCATAAACTCTATGACGACAAATATAATTCACTGGTTTTATTCATTCATGCATTCAAAACAAAGGTAAAAGTTATTTAGCCAAAAGTATAAGAAAAGATGAAATGACTGTGGACTAATTTCTCTTTTATAAAAATTATAACACCACCACTTTTTTTCCATCCACTTTTATAGGTTTGTACTTACCCATTGTCCATCTCCTCTGAGTATGGAGCTGTCTCAGTCTGTCCGCCCTCTCTGAATTCAGGCCGTTGCCAGAGCTCAGAGTTCATCTGGAGGGTGTTGATCTTCTCGGTTGTCTTCTTAACAAAACTAGAAACACTGACAAAAAGAAAATTGAATAATAAAAGGAACTTTCACAGATAAGATTACTTCAGAAGTGTTTACCAACTGATGACCCGAAACGCAAACAGAACTACAAAAAGTGGACAAATTCATGACAAATGACTGAGGGTGATGCTTGAAATGAAACCTGCCACATGCGCCTACACAGTTGAACAATGAAAAAAAAAAAAAACTAAATGTCTTCAATGGAAAAGGGAAGTAAGCCATCTAAAAGCACAGCTGCACTTGAATTATATATATATATATATATAATATGATACAATACAGGAGTTTCAAAGAAAAAAGAAGTACACAGATAATTTCATTCTTCTATTTAAAGCTGTTAGCATGTCTGTCCTTTATTTCACTGGATGTATACCTGTCTTTGACGGCCTGCAGTGCGATGCGAGGGGGTTTGGGGCGGAATGAGAGGGGGAGGTGGAACTGCAGGCCTTGCTCAGACCGCTCAGGCTCCATGCGCTCGCTGTTCTGTGGATCTGAATAAAGATGGGGGCAAGAGCCAGAGGAAAAACACAGATGGATGGAGTACTGGAGGGTAACGATGAGAGGCAGAGGACATAATGCAAGCAGATGGAGCGAAGGTGATTGACTCCACTAAAGAGGAAATGAAATTAAACGCTGCACAATGCAGAAAAACTGAACCATAATGGTGATATGTGTGTGATACAATGGGACAGACAAGAAACATGACATTAACAGTGTGGCAAAGAAAAGATTATATTTATAAAGCATACCAGCCATTAAAAGTGATCATTCAGCTCTCACATAAAATCCAGAGGTACAGCAGAGCAGCACTATTGATTCAATGATTATGTATTTTTTTTAAATCAATTCAAAAACACATTTATTTTAGAGGCAAACATACAAGACATTATGATGAACAGGTACATCTGAGTATTAAGACAACAGAGAAAAGTCAAAGAGTAAAATTATTATCAAATGTTCATATTGACAAATCTTTAGCAGCCAAAATATAAATATCTTATTCAGCATTTTTCCTCAATGTTTAGTTTTTTGTGCTAGATATAAAACTTCAAAAATAATTTCACTCTCTATTGACATCAAACTCAGAGAGGAAGAAAAATAGTTTGTTCCTGCTAAACACACACCCACACACAGTATATACAGAGAGAGAGGAAAAGAGCAACAGAGAAAAAGTGAGTGAAAAAAGAAACAACAAAGACCGTGTGTGAAGACACTTCTTTTTTTATGTTTCTGGTTTGCTGTGATCGTTGTTTTAGCAATCGCTTTTTTGGGGTGGGGTTTAATTTGTTCTGCTGATGAAGAGTTTGTTGTCTGAGAGTGGATGAAAACACCATGATCTTTGAATCTGTTCAGTTACAACGTCATATTAAGATAAGATCAACTTTATTGTCCCCGAAGGGAAATTTGTCTTGGGCATCAGTGCCTCAAGAGGGTGCAGTAAGCAACAGTAACACATGGGGACTTTACATTCACATTCATCATACAGTCCGCACCATACATTTACATTACATTGCACAAGTATCAGAGTCCCTGCCCCTGTCAATAATTAATTACAAGGAAGGAGAACCTGAGTTATATAAACCAATTAATTATTATATTCAATTGCACTTGAGCACATAAAGCAGAAAACAATATTAGGGCTTTTGTAGGTTATTAAATAAACAAATTAGCTGGAGCCACTTTTTGTTTGTGTTATTAAAGGCCCTGTACTATATTAAAAGCAGACTTTAGCTCTGAAAATATGCCACTGTAGTTCTGTATAGCAGGATACTGTATCCATATCACTCTATATATAAACTTTCACCCCAGGGAATCCTCCAGTGTTTCTTCTCATATTCATATATCAGAGTGTGTAGATTAAATTAAAATAGAAGTAAATAAGGTTTTAACAATAAGATAATACAAAACAGGTATTCAGGTCATTATCATTAGTATTACCTTGTCAGGGTAAATTAGTTTATTTCCAAAAATAACATTACATTTTTGCAGCTATTCTTTTTGTCTTAATAAATTAATATGTAAATAAAGTACAGGCAATGATAACCCCTGTTCAACTTGATTTCATCTGGTAATTATTATATTACTAAGAGTAATTATTGTTATTACTAGTAATTATTATATAAATATTTAAAAACACCTGTTCATTGATCAAATTAGACCATCCTAAGTGTATCGACAAAAATAACCTGAAATTGACTATAGATGAATTTTAAGATGTACTGAATTTCATGTTTGAAGATAGCAGTCATTTTTAATTTGGCAGCTGATCATCTCTTACCATGATCCACCTGATCCTCCTCCTGCACAAAGCTGAACTCTTTGAGCCGCTCCTCCTCTGACACAGAGTGGTTGATGAGGGAGTTCGTCTCCTCATCTGACTGACTTCCTCTGCGGCTGATCACACGATAGATTCCACAGTCCAGGACATTGAAGCTCTCCTGGATAATTGTAGAAAAGAAAATTAAGGCTAAACTGTGTCATAAATCAGTTTCCAACGTAACATAGTAATTATGTTCATACAGGCCAAAAGACAATGATTAAGTATAAATGTGCCTTTTATATGGAGTTGGTCTTCAACATATTTTGCACATTATTAGTTATCAGTAAGTTGTATTATTACACAAACTTATTTGCATGCTATATAAGTAAGTCAGCATATTCATATAATTATGTTAGTATATTCGTATAATCTTTTTACTATACTCAAACATGAAGTAGTGTGCCAGATGTTGCTGTGGCTAGGCAGACGCCACTAGTTAAGGGAAGTCCAGGGGGAACTCCCTCTCCCCTGCCGTCAGTGAGTCTGGGTTAGTAAGAACATGCTTCGGTTGGCAAAAGGAAGTGCCAGGTGAAACAAGGATGTGACCGTTAGCATGAGCAACTTACAAGCAACTGAAGATAATCTAAAGGGACTGACAAAGAGAATGTCAATAGCAAGGTCAAAACGATGAAATGGTTGAAAAACGACTTAAGCTGTGCAGTAAGTTATGGACAGTCGAGTAGGGGAGTAAGGAGAAACTGAGAAAAGCCCAGGAAGAACACACACAAGATTGTTAGAAAGCATACACAAATATAAATTCGGACATTATTGTAAGAGCTAATTCACACATGCAAGAGGGACAGTACAAAGGGGAGAAGGGTATAAAACCAGGCTGAAGCAACCTCAGCTTTAGTTCTGCATTTTTGGACCTGTGTGATGCAAACTCATTTTCATGTCTTACAAAAGAATAAATGACTCTTAGGGGAACAGAACTCTGTTCATGCCTTTTTGGGTCTTTGTTGCTGCATTCAAAACTTGTTTTTCCATCGAGCTTTATTTATAAATTTATCCCACATAATGATATATCAGATATCAGCGAACTAATGTGTATAATACAGGTTTACAGAAGCTGCGTGCTTCAGTTACAGTTGAATTAGAAATATGTTGAATGGACATTCCTGTTAACAACAAAATGCTCTGCTTCTGTGTAAAACAAGACGTGCGACCTCTGACATATATAGCAATTGTAAGTTGCTTTGGATAAAAGCATCAGCTAAATGAGTAAATGTAATGTAATGTAAAACATTATCCGGCTAATGTTAGCTGACTTTGTTCATACAAGGATAATTCCACTGTTGAAACCTGGTAATTGGAAGGATCCCACAGCAAAGTAAATGAAATGGAAGTTGGGTGCTTATCATCTACAGTTATGGTGGTCACCATTACCTGGTAAATTGATTGTTCAGAGAAATTATCTATAGAAAGTTACTTTGACTTACATGTGAGGAGATGCTACTTCTGCGGCTGCTGGAGGCGGAGCCGAGAGGCTCCAGTTTAGTGATGACTTCCTCCAGCTGGCCAGACAGCTCAAGGTGTGTGCTGGGACTGAGCTGGGACCTGAGATGCTCAAGGCGGTCGATGGGAATTGATTTCCTGGCCTGAAGTAAAACACAGGAATGATGAACAAGGCGATCATAAATGCTTTATCAACACTTCAGAACAATGCTCCAGGTGTCAAGCGCTTACTTTGATCATGAGAAGTGTGGGTAAGTTTCCTGATTATGGTCTGGTATGATAATGCTCGATTTACTTCAAACTGTACATTTCACATTTAGTTTTCATCATCTACACAATCCAGATTCACTTGGGGCATATAGTACATAGATCAAATTACTGTATGGACTGACCATATCTAGCACCTGCACATTTATTTTTCTACTTGTGGTCAGGGCATTCAAGGTGAGAAACTTCAAGTGACCAGGTTTATTCTGTGCTAATATCCTTACTTAAGCTTGGCCAGACTAAAATTTTAGTTAGACAGTACACAGACGAGGCCAGTTAGGGCGGCAGTAGCAGCCATCTTACCCTGCTGGTGGTGATTGTGTGCTGGAACATGCAGCAGACTATAGCAGCTAGAGGCCAGGACTCCCTCCGCAGCAGACGCTCAACACAGCGCTCAGCAGATAACAGGGAGAGGTGGGACAAACGACCGCTGCCATGGAGACAGAAGAGCTCGTTGCGGTAGACAGCAATATCAACCAAATCTACAAAACCAGAAAACAGCTTTGGATCAATTTAAAGTAAATCAATCAGGAACAACACATCTGGGTGATGAATTCTAAAATGATTAAATATTATCATCTTTTATTTGTTGTTATTAATGATCAGTAGTCCAAATGATTCAAGGGTAAGAACATGTCTAGGATCCATATCAATATATAAACTGATTGTGTGGGTTTATCAATAAAATGTTTGCTTAACTACTCCAAAGGATTTTGGGAGAAAGCAGCAAACACACCTTTCACTTCAGTCCACAGCAGCACTTGTCCATTCAGAGGTGTGAAGATATAAATAGCTGAATCAGTCCAGGTCACCAAGTTTTGGTCTCTATATAAATAAATAAAGTGTACAGTTAGTCAACTGACAGACTTGCCTACAGTTATTATCTAAAAAAAAAAAAGGCAACTGACAAGCCTAATAACTCAGATAATAAATTATATATAACATTACCCCAAATAAAGAAGTTTAGGGAAGGCGATCGACTGGGGGCTCTTCTGCGCTGGGTTGTAGTGTGGCTCATTTCTGCAGGTAACAAAAGACAAATTAGGAGTTTGCCTTTTTAAAGAAGACAACTTAAAAGCAAGAACAATCAGTACCTGATGGTGATGAGAGGTAGAGGAGGACAGGCCATGGCTGTTTGAACTGATGGGTGCTGAGAACCTCGCCATTAAAGCTGGCCTCCCATATTCGAGACCCCGGTCGGGCACAGTACAGCAGGGGGGGTTGACCAACTAATAATCCCCTGTTCTGAGGGAAAAAACAAGCTCCATACTCCCCATCGCGCTCCTTATTTCCAACACGCCAGAACTTCTCTCTGAAGGCAGGTATAGACAGAAAAATACACCACTGCTGAGATATGTCCAGGGATCAACATGAATAACATTCTGACAGAGTTGTTTTGGGAACCCAATTTGATTACCTTTTTCTTAACTTGTTAATTACCCATATAACATTAGACTCAGCTGCATTATTATTTTAATAAAAATGGTTAAGAAAATAAATAAATGTTACTTTCATCCACTTTCTCTACCTACTTGTGCCGCGCAGAGTCACAGAAAAATTACTTAATTATAAACCAAATGCTGAAATTGTCCTTAAGCATCCTCAATAAATCAGCATAAAATGATTATGTATATGATTGAAATATAGATTCACCATAAACAACACTGAAGTGTGGACAATATTTCCAATATGGGGGCATTAACATGCGCCCTTTGAGAGTCTCTTTCTCTCTTTCAGAGACGCAGTGTGTACTTACCTCTCTGTGTCACAGAGGTAGCAGCGGCTCAAGGAAGACACCATCAGGCGACCATCTTGGTACCCGAGCTGAACCACTTTGGAGTCCACAGTGGTGACGGTCTGAACAGGGAAGATACGAATGCTGACCCCTAGCCATAAAGAAATCAAGCATGGATATGAAGAAGGATATGTACATTACATATAATATAAGGACAAGAACACAGCAAAGAGTGACATTGGTTCATTTAGCTGAATCACAAGAAGTGCAAGAAAAAAAAAATCTCAGCCAGCAATTATAGGCATATTTCTCGAGATCCTCAAAGGTTTTAAAAATACTAACATTTGTCTCTCATTTCCACATGATTCCTATTGCCAAGACACAAATGTGATTTATCACTTATTAGAAAATATAATCACCTAATTGATTATGCTGGTGGTTTTGCACATTTTACCCTTTTTTCTACCACCTGGTTAACCTTTACATTTCAGTTTGAGATGAAAATGAACTTTAAACAAAAACAAATGAAACACCAATTTTCAATTAGAGAACCTTACTTTGTTGAACTTGCCAAGTGAAAGTCATTTATTTGAATTTTTAGATCCTTCGTGAGGTCTGTGATTTTGGACTGTAAGCAGGTTTGAAGGGTCAGAGAATTTAGTAACCTGTCACCTGGCTTCAATGTAAGGCTTGGTAATTTGATTTAGTTCAGAGACCTTACATAACTGCTTGTGGATGAACTCCAAATTGTCTAAAACATTTCAAAAGCTGCATTTACTTCAGCAGTCAATACCTTGCCAAGTTTGGAGGATCCTGCACGGAGAAGAGACACCTTGCCTCCTGAGTCCCCGACAAAAACTCTGAGCGTGCTGGTGTCCCAGCAGAGCGCAGTGATGATCCGACCTCGGTGCTCCCAGGACACACCGACTCTCTCTGGACGTCCCCGCCGCTCCAGCTGCAGCTCCCACACCGCCACCAGACCCTGACTGGAGCAGAAACACAGCAAACATGGTGAACAATACAGGCAACAGAAGCAAGAGGAGAAAGGTGACAAAGGGTGCGTTTTGTTTGAGGATAGATAAGTATAAAAGATTTCTTTACTACATAGTGAGATTCAAACCTTGTAGCAACAGCAATGAAGTCTTCATCATGAGGGCAACACACCACCTGAGTGATAGATCCCTCCTAAAAAGGGCGCATAATGGGTTACCACTTAACACAAAATTAGGAGAAACCGACACATACAAACATTGTATTACGTATTATGTGCAGCTGTATAGAAAGCTTAAGTCCCTCCCCTTCCAGTGGTACGGTAGCACAGACAGCCAAACATGAAAGAATCTACAGCGGATTGTCAACAAAGCATCCAAAATCATAGGCAACCAACTCCCCTCATCTGATTCCCTATACACTCAGACTGTAAAGCGAGCAAAGAAAATCATCTCCGATCCATCACATCCTGCTCACCACCTCTTGCAGCTCCTTCCCTCAGGTAGGCGATACAGGTCACTTTCCACCAAGACCAAACGCTTCACAAACAGACCTTTCTGGGAGGGACTTAGGCTCTCTCTCTTTGCACAATAGTACCCAGTCACATATTACCTTGTGAGTGAGGATGAGCTTTTGTTTCCAGCCCTCCCTCTGAATCAGGTGCAATCCTCCTGCTGATGTTCCTAATGCGAGCCACTTCCTTGACACAGCCAAACAGGTGCACTAAAACACAACAACAATGATTACCTTGTGTTTCTTGTATGCATCATACTGATTTTTTCAATCTTCCATTGATGGGCATAATGTATCGTGCTGTTTTATGTTGTGTACTTGTTGTTCAGTGGTTGTTTTCCTTTGTTTTGTCTACCTGCCAAGGGACAACAGATGCAAATTAGCTGCTAGCAAACTCTGGTGCACTCACTTTTAAATTTTGTGCTGTCTGTGCAAAACTAAACAATAAAAGAAATGAAACAGAGTCACATTTAGGAATTGCTGGCTCACCTTTTCATGTAGATACACTGTTAGATAAACTAAATAAAAAATAATGTTGTAATTTGCAGTATTGTACCCAATTATCCCAAGACTCAGACAATCTGATGTGTTAATCACCTGGCATTTTTCTGCTTTTAAAGTCCATTGTAGCAGTTGGATTTTTAATTATATTACATTTATTAATCTGTACCACGTGTACTGTGAGTACAAAGTACATAAGTTACAGGCCCACTAACTGTTTATGATAAGGTTAACCCAGTATTTTCACTATGTTGCACTTTAAGGACACCAAATAATAAGCTAATATAAATCTTCATTTTAACACAGACTCAGAGATGTGATAGTGAAACCTACCTTAAGTCTGCTGGAGTCTAATCGGAGAGCAGACAGAAGTGGATCGAGGCAGTCAAACTCTGCCAGTACATGACTGTAGTTCTCTGGCACAACCTGTATCAGAGGCATCTTCACTGGCGATCCTCTACAACTGAGAAAGAAGACAGTTGTTCAATACGTTCTAATTTAGCAAAGTGTTTCTGACATTTTCTAGGAGTCGCCAAGGAAGACACTATTGTCACTAAATGAATAAAGATGAAAAATGGGGGGAAGTTTCTTTACTCACATACACTGTTGGTGACTTTGACTTACTTGTTGTTGGCTATGATTTACTTGCTATGGTTTTAAGTGAACTTATGAGAAAGGAGAAGCTAAACTAAAGCTGCAGCTCATTAGAGTGATCAAACTTTTGGAAGAAAACATCAGTGTGTGTGCCGCAAAAATGTTTTAAAACAAAATATCTGCACATAATTGCTCTGAAGCATTGTAGTAGTTGACACAAGCATCTGAAAAGCAGGTAAGAAGTAACAGTCAACCTCTGTATCGGCTAGCACTCTACTGCACCAGGAATATATTTGGGAGTGAAGATTTGTACAGATTCGAGCTGACCACAGTTGAATTGACCTGCTAAATTTACTCGAATTGGGCCCTCGATGTACAGGAGTCCTAACACACAAGACAAGGCCTAAAGTCAAGATGATAATTCAGAGACACTGATAAGGGCCTGTCTTTGCTATTGACTGGGCCTCAGCCTGACACTGATTCTGTTTGTTTACTAAAGCATAAGTAGTGCCAAACTGCTTACTTATCTAAAGACAGCACATATTCAATATGTGTGTGTTGCCTATTATGGATTGACAAATTTCAGTTAGATATAAATTGAAGTCCCTATTAAGAAAAAGTATCAATAGCTAACTACAAGAACCAAAAGTAAAAGTGCATGCCAGTGAGAATTAAGTTTCACTATATCAGATTATATTAAAACATTAGCAATAACGTTAATGTTACTTATGCAGAAATGCGATTTTATTGTTGTAACTGGTCAAGTGGATTAAATATTGAATAATTTACATACTAGTGGGGAATTTAAGCCATAACAATGTGTAGCTCAAATAAATGCAGCGAAGTAAAGTTAGCAAAATGTCCCTCAGACGTGTAACATAAACAGAAAATACGCACAAACCGGCATGAAACGACGGCTCAGCTGGCCGCAGTGTCAGAAGTTACCACAGACTGTATAAAAGTGAACAGCTAATATGTAACTACTTTACTATGCTAGAGAGGACCAGCCGTCAACTAACTTGGCATAGTTACAGTTATAAATGTACGTTACTAACTTTTACTATTTAATTTGGAGGACAACACTGGCTTTCACTTGACATTACAGTGACACCGCAAAGTATTACATTCCTACGTTAACGTTAATAACCGTCAAACTGTCACATTTCGTAACGTTATTCAAATATTCCAGATTTTTGACAGTAAATGCGACTCGAACAAACAAGTAATTAACTGAACGGCTCTTCTAGGTTCGTTTTCGTTGATAATACACAGCAAGTCCGTATCTTTATTAAGTTGCCGCACTGCAAACAACTTACTTCAAGAGGGCGATTCCATCAGTCGATTTTGTGGCAGTCAGTCTGCATCACGAGACCCGTCATCTGCTGACACTGGCGCTAACGTTTCTGTCAAAACTAACGTTAGGGGAACCTTAGCTTTAAATAATTAAATATGAGCACGACATGGCTATCTTAAATATGTCTTCACAGTTTACTGACATTAAGTAACGTTATATTCTGAGGAATATGTTCAATGCGCCGACTCGTTGTCACTATACTAGCAATAACAAATTAGCAAACATGCTAGCTAGCTAGCTCTGAAAGTGATGCTGCCATTCACTCGATGTTGTCAGTTTAACTCACCAAAGGAGAGTCGGAGTGACAGGCCAGTGCTACCGCCTATAAATCCACTCTAAACCGCCGTTTTTGTCCACTTTTCTGGAAGAAAGTCAGCGGTCAGCGTCTCGCCACTCTTCCTGCAGCCAGCAGACCTGCCACGGCTCCACTCAGCTGACGTGAGGACACTTCCTGAAAGCAGAGCTACGGCTTCCCAATAGCCGCACTGGATGCTTCACTGAACGTCTTTCACACAAACTTCTACCGCTCTTATAAACACATATATAGAGGACCGCATTAATACAGACCAAAAATACAGTAATTTAAGGTACATGGACGTGATGAAATGCAGAAGGTTCATTAACAAAAGCTTTATGCCTCACTTTAATTTAGAGTAACACTTTTGTCTTCAGTGCAGACATTACAAACCAAAGACAGTGTGATTCGAGTCACACAAACTAATGCACTCCAGTGTGAAATGTCTTTACAGTATTGCTATTTATTTCGCCTTTATATTTTCTGAAACTCTTCTCCACAAATCGATCCGGTGCTCAGAGGGGCTCCTTGTTATGTCCATTCTCTCTTTCGCTGCTCTGTGCACCGATGAAACACATGTTGGCAGCCCTCTGCTTGCTTCTCATAGGATAGCCTGTCGTCCGGAGTGCCTTAAATGATTTTCCATCTTTCTTTCCATCTATTTGGTCATATTACACCATTTTGAACGTCCCATTTAACCATTACCGATACCAAATTCTCAACCATTGAAAAAACACAAACAAAAGAGAAAGAAACTAATTACAGTTATTTGTGACTGAGATGCCATTAGTCTCTGTTGAACAGTTGGGGATGTAGCAGCATCCATCTATATCCTCATTAAGCCCCTGGTTAACCACGCCCCATCAGACTGTGATCTGTGGTTTCTTCACAGCAGTCTGGAGAACCTTCACAGGCCATTTGTCCATAAACTTTCACATCTTCCTTGTCCTCTCTTTGACAAACCATCAGACCTCAGGTTTTCCTCATCATGCGACGGGTTTGCCAGATGTGAAACTTGCTATAGGCTGTCTGTAACATCTCCTCCAAATGCCCTGTGAGCTGTGGGAACATACAAGAAATTTAATGAAAGTGTCACCTGGTTAAAGCCAATATTGTGTCATTATTAATAACTTGGAGACTTACATTTGTACTTAAGTACTGACGCTGAATCTTCTCCTGAAAAGGACAAAGCTTGGTCATCTGAAATCTCTCGAGGTTTGACTTCATTTTCATCACCTGTTTGAAAAGTATGAGATGATGAGAACAAATCTGAAGAAAAACAAAAAATTAAACTTATGTAGGGTGACTGCCAGGTGTAAGGTGGTGGTAGTGATTGAGATTATACTATAAAACTACATATTAAAACCACAAAGAAATGCAAAAAAATTATTTACAAGTACTATTAGACAAGTATTAGAAGTGCCAATTGATCTTTTTGTTGCCAAAATTTCAGCTTAACTCTGTAACAATTATTAGACTTTCTTTCAATACAGGGAATATTAAGTCACCTTTTCCTCCAAAAATGGTGTGTTTACAGGAAAACAGGACCAGAAGTGTCTCAGCAACTCTCCAGCAGCTGCATAAAGATGCTTTAACTCTCCTTGAACCTCAGTAGGTACCATCTCTGGAAAAAGAAAAGACAAAATAAATTACTGGCAGTTTAAATACTCAACATTTTTCATAATATGGGTCATCATTGAACAATACAGAAACATTACAGAAAAATAAGAGCTTATGTCTGCTTGTACAAAAATAACCCATCCCTCTATTTCTACAGAATGCATGACAGCAGTCATGAGGAAACACCTTGAAGTTCAGTGTGTTGCTCAGCGGCATTTCAGCAACCTCACGCTACAGATGTGCTATAGGCATCCACTGATCACCTTTCACAGTTTCACAGTTGTACAACACACTTACGATTTATGGCTTGTTGTGCTCCTGCCTGCATGAGGATGCCACCTGGAGAAAGTGCTGCAATAGCAGAGCTAGCGGTTGTGCTGGACAACACCTGCAACGAGTATCACTGGGGTTAAACTCTTCAAAGACACCATTCATACTTTAAACAATTTACATATTCCTGATTTTTCAGGAAAACCTAACTTTGAAAATATTTGTACTGCCTTCCCAGTCCACAGTGCTTTTAGTGGGCTCTTATATTATCACAATAAGTGGAAAAGGAACTAGAGGAACAGGTTTAATGATCTTGACCTGGGAATGTGTTGTTATTGGACTTCTGAGATGTGTATGATCATTAACTTTTGTCCGAAGGTCAGTGATTGTTAAATCACAATAGAAGCTGTGTTCTGTGCAGCTGACTTGATCAATATCTGGTGAAAACCTGATGGCACTGATCAGCATGCATGATAAAGTTAACGAAATATAGTGAGCATGACCTAACCTGAGTGAGGTTGGGTTTGTAATTGACCATCTCTTGCTGGATGTAGTTGACAGAGTTGATGATATCCTGGCTTGTCGTATACTGTTGAGACTGAAGTGGCACAGGCCCATGGGCGTACCTTACAAATAAAGAGAGATACTGTGAGAAACATTATATTAGAACATATAATTTTTCATTCCTGGACAATTTTTAAGGCAAAAGTCTGCCAGTTTGAGCAGTCAAAAGCATAAATTTATGCTGAAGTGACATTCTGGTGTTGGCCATTAGCAGGAACTTCAGCACAGTGAAAGCAATGAATCTGAGCTGTAAAATGAAATACAAAATCTATTTTGAAATAAGCAGTCTGTCCAGAGGAAGTGAGACTCACCCCCAACAGATGAGCATCTTCCTCAATTCTGCACAGAGAGCTGACACAACTAATCAATTATTTAGTTTTTGTTTAGTTGATGAAAAGAACATTAATGATTATCTGTTGTATTAACTGTTTTCAGTTTCAGTCAATTATAAAGTAAAACTACAAAATATTTGGTTGTCACAGCTTCTGAAATGCAGAAAAACCCTTACTTTGCTTTTTCAGATATTAAAAGCTGAATTTTTATGTGACGGTAATATATTACTTATTGACAGTTACTTATGGCGTTACATGAAAATACTAGTCTAATAAAAATGTGCATACATCAATGCCACTAGGAGTTAACATTTAACGAACACAGAAGAAGAAAAAAACCCCGACAAATTGTACCTGTCAGACTTCTTGAGGTTTAACGCAATTGTTTTTGGCCTGTTTTCCCTTTGCAGATCTTCATATTCAATGGCTTCTTGTAATCTGACCTAAGATAGTTTGCCAACAGAAAAGAGACACAGGACAAAAGAGAGTAACCAGTCCAGAAATTAGGTTTCTTTAGATCTATATACTAAGAAATTATATTTTATTATTTATATTATTCAGTAAAATCATATGGCATTGCAAACATTATTGTTAATCAAACAACATCAACATCAATAAATGAAATGCTACATGATGTGGCCTACTCCTGTAAAACATTATTTTACTGTACTGTAATTCTGCATTGTGTTACATCTTAGGAGGGTTGGCTCATCTGGACTAACAAAGCAAAGAACATCAAAAACTATTACATCTAGTGAAAGTATGACCACTGACAGATAACAAGAAAAAGTAAGCACCGTTTCTGCACCACAGTCCATTACAAACCATATAATACATGACGTTTACAAAGGCAAAGTCAGGTGAGGATCAAGACTCCTCTCCACACAGTCTTGCAATCGCACCGCTGTTAAAAGTTTTCCACCAGGGCAGTAAAATGTGAAGTTTACCTGTTTAGTCCATGCTGTACCCTTTTTATTGCCAATAATAATCAGCTGATTGTCTCAAAGACACATTTATGTCCACACTGCAAAGCCAAGACACAGTTGGAGAATAATATTAAAAATTACAATCCAACTAAATATTTTTTTCTACCAGAGCAGTAAAAGTTTAGCTGACCTATCTCAGCTTCCAGCTGTAAGCTACTTTATTGCCAGTTAATTAGCTAATTGTCTCACATAAGCGACACATTTCTGTCCACATTGCAAAGACAAAGTGCTGGACAATAACTAACTTTACATGAAATTACAATCCAACTATGTTCTTTCTACCAGGACAGTAAAATGTGGAGTTTAACTGGCTGATCGGAGCTTCCATTCTGTAAGTTGGTTACTGTTTTATTGCCAATTAATCAGCTCATTATCTCATGAACGTAAGTGGCACATTTCTGTTCATGTACCAAAGCCAAAACACACAATGAAGAATAATGTTAATGAAATTACAATCCAACTATATTTTTCACAACACTGACAAGGCAAACACGTCACTTCTATCTGTGATTATCGGCAGCTTCTAGCCAACGCTATCAAACAGCAGTTTTCCTTTGTATCGCTAAAGTTGCACTAACTTAATTACGTGTCCAGCAGAAAACAGACAACTTCAGCGCCACTTTGAATCAAATCAGAGCCTTCCATCTGGGAAAATCTGTCTGTCTGTCTGTATCTGTCCCGATGCCGTCTGGCTTCATCATGTTTTCGCTTCTTTGGTGACGTAGATCCACACACTGCTGGCTCGTGCTAAACAATACAGGTAGTCCACCATTTGTCCAAATTTCACTTCTCTTCTTACTTCTAAACCAGATGACTACTGAGAGACCGTATATTATTATTATTTTCCTCTTCTTCTTCTATGTACACATTCAACGTAGTGACGAGCGTCTACACTGCTGGAATTATACAAGCAGAAAAAGAACAACCTAGTGACAAAACATGCTCTGTTAGCGCTGTTTGTCCGTTTTCGGCTACTGTAGAAACATGGTGACGCAACATGGCGACATCCATGGATAGGGGACCCGCGGTTATGTAGACTGAAATGGCTCATTCTAAGGTAATAGAAACAGAACGGTTCATTATGGAAGGTCTTTTTACACCACTGAAAACATGGTTATGTGTATTATATTGCATTTCTGTCAATAAATCCTCAGAATTATTACACACTGGACCTTTAAAGCTACAGTCATCGTACCTTCTTTACAGGAGGCTGGAAGAAGTCAGAATCCCTTGAGTTTCCATCTGTACTGCTCGTCTCACTAGCTTGGTCAGTTGGTGTTTCCCTTTAAAAATATTATCTAGTTAGCAAAAAAATTAAGACAGCAAGCAAGTGATTTTTTTTTGCAAAAGTCATTTCATTACCCCTTGCGTGAGCCTGCCGCCAGCACCATGGCACT